GTCTATACCATGCAGGGGGTTGATTAAGATAGGAATTGATTGGTAATAGACTTTAACTTCTTCTACTCCTGTAATCTGGTTTATATTTCATTAATTTGGTAATTAGCTGTATTATAATATTCATTTTATATTTTTTAAAACTTCAAATAACGGAAGATGGTACTTAGTTCAAAAGCAGCAGCCGCCTTTTTTTGTAACTTGCCTATGCTTATGAATATAAAAACCCGATTATCAAAGATTTTTTTAAATATTTTGTTAGATATTTCCCAAAAAAACGGATTTGATTTAACTAGGATGCAAAATTGTTTGTTTTCTTGTTCAAAAGAATAGGTTTATGATTTTTATATTTTCAAATAAAAGCAAGATACTCTCTAATTTAAAAACAAACACATTCCCTCATTGATGAATGTAAGTCTCACAACTATCAAAGAGTTGTTTTAATATTTCTTTGGACCTTTCCAATTGCTTGGACAATTGTGCCCTTTTGTCTGCCTTCTAAGCCCGATTATTGTGTTCTGCCTCTGGCCATGATTCAGTTTGGGTCGTGGCCCGGTCTGTTGCCTAATTGAAAATGCCTTGATGCTGGAGACTGGAAAAAATCTTTCGCACGCCAATCTCGATGTTGGCCAACAATGCTCAACTTTCGCACGGCATAAATCCCTGCTAAATGCATGAGGTAAATGCATCAGCTTATCGGCAAAAGATCTGTGGCATTGTGGTTTTGGATTGTGGTCTGGTTTTTTGGCACACCCACTCCAGAAGGTGTTTTTTTAAGCTCTCGGGACAAGTGGACTGGCCTGTTCGAAATGTCAAACTTTTGTTTACAAAACTCTTCAGCGAGGCACACCCACTTCCCCACTTCGCCACTTCTCCCACCTCTTCCCTGCTGCCTGGTGCTAAAATTCAAACAAAAACGGGGCGTATACGCAATGTCTCTGGCCAGACATTGATCTCTGGGCCGTGTTGCCTTTGTTTTATTTTTTATTTTTATATATCTTTCTTTTTTGGGGCGTTGACATTGCGACGCTCTTTGGTACCTGGAACGTGACATGATGTGCGGCACATTCTACGTGCTACGGAAATTTCCAGTCAATTTCCAGGCGGCAGCGGTACTGCAGCGGACCCTCTTTGAATTTTAAGTTGCATTTAAGAGGCAAACTGAACCGAGCCGAACTTTACCTCACCGTATGCCACACAACAACATTTCAGCCAAGTCATGCTTCTCGGCTGTGAATGTGTAAATGTAGATCTGGATGGCAGCTGCAGAGCTCGGGGATTATGAATAGCCAGAGCATTATCTGCGGAATTTTCGGTTGAGCCATGAGTGATGGCCAGCAGACCCGCAATTTACTCAAATATCCACACATGATTCACGGGTGTTCGAAAAAGAGGAAAAATAGGGAGCTTAAAATATCCCCGGCACACTGCACATAAATTTTCCAGGCAAAAACCAAGTAGGTTTCCTAACACACTTAATAGACATGACTCACTTTCGGAGGAATTTCTCGTATATTTTTTGTATACAAAAATTTACGAAGTGAGTAAAAACCATAAACATACCAAAAACCATAGAAAGAGAAACACACCATAATGAAACAAATTTTTAAACTGTTTTAGGTTAATTAAGTGCTTTTAAATGCTATTCAAAAGCCTTGTTAAGTGGCCAAAACTAAGCGTGATAAATTTTCATAAAATGTAATTACATTGAATAGTTACAATAAAATGTATAATAAAGAGCGGTTAATAATTCATTTCATACTAATTAGATGCTGTAAAATAAACCATTATTTAATATTACCTTGCTTAACAATAAAAGGAGTTAATAATTTGAAAAAAGTGGTTCTTAGTTATATTATTAATGAAAAACAGAAAATTACTCTTTGCTATAATATTAATCACATTTCTTATGAATAAATAAATAGGTTTAAATAGAAAACCAATAATACCAATACCTCTATTCAATTGCATAAATCCTTGAATTTTGGGCCATAAATTGAGAGACTCTCTTAATTTGGGTATAGAAAACTTGGACAAAAGAACCTCTTGATTGACCCACTTGATGTATGTCCGTCGGTCTTTGAAGCAGGCGATTTCTAATGGTCGACAGCTCAAGTCTCAAGTAATTGCTTCTCATGATCTCAAAGTTCTTGAAAACCGACCTGCTCCCAATGGCACAAAAAATCGAGAGCAACTCGCTGCGATTTATGAGGCAGTTTTGCTAGACTCGATTCAAGGTTAAATCCAGATTTTATGCAAAGCCAGCTGAGAAATTGTAAATATGTGCGCAATATTTGTGCATTTTTTGCGGGCTTTTTATTTTTTTTTTTTGGTTTTTTGTCGTAATGCGATGCCTTACGTAAGCAACGGGCTCTCCAGCTGCAGTTGCAGTACACACATATATGTATATGTGTGCCACACACACACTCACACACTGGTGTTGCAACTTGTTGTCGCAGCAGCAACATCAGCTAGCTGCAGCAGCAACTTGTCCATAAATTGTACCGCCGCTGGGGCTGTAAATCCGGCCAAAACGATTCTCAATTTTGGCCCGCTGTGGAAGCTGCTGCTCAGGCGCCCTGCAGCAACATCAACGGTGTTGCAGCAGCAACAGAGACAGCAGCAACAGCAGCAACACACTGGACCAGGCCACATTTAGCCTGATTTTAATTGCCAACCGCTAGTTGCAATTAAAAGAAAATAAGGCTGGACAAAGCTGAAACTAAACTGAAAACAAATCTGGCATTTGCCTTTAAGTACAGACATGAGTGTTGCCGTTGTTGCTGCTGTTGCTGCTGCTCACTTTGCGTAAAATCGACAAATTTGTCAAGCCAATCAATGCGAAATGCGAATGCGAATGCGAATGCGAGTGCTCATGCGCATTGTACAATCCAAATTGTTGTCATTTCATTTTCATTCAAGTTGTTTAGCTCCGAACTTTTTCTCCATTTATTTATCTATCCATCTATCTTTTTTCTGCTTTTTTCGGCATGCAATTTTATGTAAGCAGCTGCTGCAGTCGCTGCCATAAAGCAATGTTAAGCAATGCGTAAGCCATAGAAACCGACCAAAGCGGCCAACCACCATGTAAATGATGGCTATATATAAATGTAAATTGCCACAGCGTTCCATAAACATATCTTGTTTACCTATGCTGGTCCAATGACCCAATCAAGTGTCCACACACCGTTTTATAAGTATTTCGCGTCGGTTCGCCTGGCACTGGGTAAATATGCCATTACCCCTCCGCCAGAATTGTCTTGAGTGCTTTCGGCTCTTTCAGCTTTTGGCAAAATGGGACAACAGCCCGCCATCAACAGCTCATCGAGAAGCATGCCGGATATGGATACGGCTGCGATTTACGGCTCGGGGGGAAAGCTTCAAGTCGCTAAACAGCTAAAAAGCCAAGCAATACATACATTTCTGCCTTTTAGCCAGTGCAATTTAGAGGAAGTCTTGGCTGGAAACTGGGTTAAGAACTTGGAAGGGTAGCAATGCACATTCAATAGCCAATGAACACTACTGCAGGACGTGCTATTATAATATACCCAACGTTTTTAGCTTTTAGCTGGCAACTCGCGACTTCCATTTTTAAATGTATTTTTAAAGAATTAAGAGTTGTTTTTATAAACCAAAATAAGATTGGGCTAACAGATACATATGCCTTCCCAAAAAGTATAAATTTATGCTCATTCATTTTATTATATACAATTTTATTTGACATTTTGATATATTTTTCTATCGTTTTATTTATGCTTGACAAAACAAGTGAAACTAGTTAAGGTAAAATCTATGTTTTGTGACTTGTGAACACAAAATGTGGCCTTCAAAAGTGATGTTCTTCTCAGACAAGCAAAAGATGTAGCAAATCTAATGTGGTTTTTAAGTTTTTTCAAGACTACCCTTTATTTATAGATAATTGTTTTTGGCGAAAAGAAAGTTCCCCTCCGGCGCGTAACTGCAATTAGCCAACTTTATTGTTCATCTCTCGACATATATAGTAGGTATTATACAGCATATAGAGAGGTCTGGCCAGCCTGCTAATTAGTTATGAGCCTCTTCAATCCAACCTGTTCGGATCTCATCGTTGGCAGATGTTTTTTGTTTCTTTTGGATGCTGATGAAGCTGATGATGCTGGTGTCTTGACTTGATCAATTTTTATTTCCAGGCACTTTGTTCGCTATGTGTAAAAATTCACTTCGATGAATGAACGATTACGCAGTGTGTGTGAGTCCAGAAAAAAAGAGTTTATGAAAAAAGAAAAAACCGGCATGGCTCACACACACGCATACGCAATCAAAGTCGAGTTTTTGGTACGGATCGCTTATGTAACCTGGTGTTGTTTCTCTTTCGGTTGCTGACCAAAATCCAAAAAGATTTGGGCCCATTGTGGCTGCGGCTGTTGTAACACATTGGCATTTTAATATGAAAATCCGTTTAAGATATTTATGCGAGAGTGTGACTCACACTGGGTCGCTCCACAGATCCACAAATATGTAGATTCATTAGGTATATGGCATGTGTAGTATTGCTTCCTAGTCAGCCGCCCCTCTTATGGCACTCAAATAAAAACGGGGCGTGGCATTTGCATCTGATTAGCCGGGCGATTTGCATATGAAATTCATCTCGTCACATCATACGAGATGCGATTATGTAAGACGCGATTTGATGGGCGACCTTCATGGGAACCACTTCTTCGAGTTCGTGTCTTTGGTCTTTTGTTTCGCCCAGATTCATGCGAACCTCTCCGATCTCCAATCTCGAATCTCCGATCTCCCCCGATCCCCCTTGGATCTCCACCAACTATCCAATCCATCGATGTCACTGTGTCAATGCTGATGGCCCATGGCGATCCGCGGTCTCCGATCTCCGATCTCGAAATGCTAATTGGACTGCCCGCCGATGGCTTCCGCCTCGTGCTGGCCCAAGTCTTTGGTCTCGAACCGATATAATTGTCGTCATAATTGTCCAAATTCCTAATGTTCTTCTTCCTCCATTGCAGTTCCGGCGTGGAGCGGCCTGGCAAACGCTCTTCCTGCTCTGCGCTCTCGCCTATTGCATAAACGGTAAGTGATTATATAACTTAATATAAATCTATATACATAAAACTATAGAATGTATGTAAAACAGGGTCAACGTTTCAAAAACAATTTAGTATATGCCATAAGGGTGTCCCAGCCTGAATACAATCAAATGTCTTTTCTCAAAATGGAATACTTATTATATAATATTTTATATTTTGGAATATTTATTTCCAATTTATTAGTTATTTTAAAATTTTTTTAACACAAATTGAACAAAATTTATTTTATATTTAATTTTTTCAACAAATAAATTAACTTGACATCCGAAAACTATCTTTATAGATATATTATATTATATTTCTTTGGCAATTATAAAATATATTAAATCTGTATCTGTAATAAATATATAAATGAATCCAATTATAGATGCACCTGTTTTCAAAGTTCTTAAGATTCAAAACCTACCAGAATATATATTTTTAATAATAATTGAGTATGCAATATAAATGTTTCTCAGACCGTAACAAAACCATTTCGTCTAAATAGCGATTACCTCAGAAACAGAAGCCAAGTAAACCTTTTGGCCTTTTGATATATTTCTTAATTAATGCAAACCCTCGACCAATTTGAATTATGCTTCATGGCCCGTCACTAAACCGTTTCCCATTCCACACCAATTGAAATTCCATCGAAAACAGAAGCCAGCAGCGAGGGTCGCGTGGTCTGCTACTACACAAACTGGAGTGTCTATCGGCCGGGCACCGCCAAGTTCAATCCGCAGAACATCAATCCATACCTGTGTACCCACTTGGTGTACGCATTCGGTGGATTCACCAAGGACAACCAGATGAAGCCCTTTGACAAGTACCAGGACATTGAGCAGGGTGAGTGTTGGGCAGCGTAGACACGCCCCCGTCCTTCCGGCGAGTTAATTTGACTCGGCTTTAATTTCCTGTCCGTCTGACGATGATGATGCTGCCAACCCCCTAACTAACGAGATACCTTCCTCCATCCCGCTCCATCCAGGTGGCTATGCCAAGTTCACTGGACTCAAAACGTACAACAAACAGCTGAAGACCATGATTGCCATTGGCGGCTGGAACGAGGCCAGTTCCAGATTCTCACCATTGGTGGCCAGCAACGAGCGCCGCCAGCAGTTCATCAAGAACATCCTGAAGTTCCTGCGACAAAACCACTTCGATGGCATCGATCTGGACTGGGAGTATCCGGCACATCGTGAGGGTGGCAAGTCCCGCGATCGGGACAACTATGCCCAGTTTGTCCAGGAGCTGAGGGCCGAGTTCGAAAGGGAAGCGGAGAAAACCGGACGCACTCGCCTCCTCCTGACCATGGCCGTGCCCGCTGGCATCGAGTACATCGACAAGGGTTACGATGTGCCCAAACTGAACAAGTATCTGGATTGGTTCAATGTACTGACCTACGATTTCCACTCATCCCACGAGCCATCGGTCAACCACCATGCTCCGCTCTACTCGCTGGAGGAGGACTCCGAGTACAACTACGATACCGAGTTGAATATTGTGAGTTGGAATCGAAATAAACCTTTAATTCGCTATAATCTCATTTATAACTACAGGACTACTCCATCAAATACTATCTGAAAGCGGGTGCAGATCGGGACAAGCTGGTTCTGGGCATACCCACCTACGGGCGATCCTACACCTTGATTAACGAGGAGAGCACCGAACTTGGAGCACCTTCGGAGGGTCCAGGAGAGCAGGGTGATGCCACCCGCGAAAAGGGATACTTGGCCTACTATGAGGTAGGTTTACACAGATGATAAATGTAATTAGATCCCCCTAACCCACTGTAATTTCCTCCAGATCTGTCAGACCCTGAAAGACGATCCCGAGTGGACTGTGGTGCAGCCGAATGCCAATGTTATGGGTCCCTATGCCTACAGACGGAACCAGTGGGTGGGCTACGATGACGAGGCCATCGTGCGCAAGAAGGCCGAGTATGTGGTGGCGCAGGGGCTGGGTGGAATCATGTTCTGGGCCATCGACAACGACGATTTCCGCGGCACCTGCAACGGCAAGCCATATCCCCTTATCGAGGCTGCCAAGGAGGCCATGGTGGACGCCCTGGGGTAAGGAAGAATATTTTTCTTAAACCCGTACATTACTTTAATTATCTTAAATCCCCTCTAGACTGGGCATCAACGAGGTGGCTAAGCCAAGTGGTCCGCAGAAACCCTCAAGATCCCGTAGTCGCGATAATGCTAGCACCAGGAACCGTCTAAATGGCAAGACCGAAGCTCCAGCCAGCTCCAGGAGGCCAAGTGCCCCCAGGAGGCCAGCTGTGAGCTCCACCACCCAAGCACCACCGCCGAGCACCACCTTTAAACTGACTGAAGCCGAGGGATCCTCTCTTTACATTGGAGGCAGGGCTTCTACCACGCCACCACCACCAACGACTCCGGATCCGGGCTCGGACTTCAAGTGCGAGGAGGAGGGCTTCTTCCAGCATCCCAGGGATTGCAAGAAGTACTACTGGTGTCTGGATAGTGGACCATCGGGTCTGGGAATCGTTGCTCACATGTTCACTTGTCCATCGGGTCTCTATTTCAATCCGGCCGCCGATTCGTGCGACTTTGCCCGCAATGTGCCATGCAAAACCAAGAAGTAAATACATTTTGCATTACATTTTAAGAACAACTAACACCAAATCCATTTTATTGTCTCCCTTAGATCCACCACAGTGGCACCAGTGACCTCCACAACCCCGACAACCACTACAGTGCGTTCAAATCGAGTGACAGCTGCTCCCACGGCTCGTCCGGTTTATCCACGAACCACCACCAGCACCACCACAAGCACCACGACCACCACCACGACAAGGCCAGCCACATTTGATGAAGATCTCGAGTACGAAGAGGACACCGATGAGCTATCGCCTAGCAAGTCTACCGATGCTGAGGAGGATCCACAGGTGATCAAGGAGCTGATCGACCTGATTCGCAAAGTGGGTGGTGTCGAGCAGCTGGAGAAGCATCTGTTGCGCAACAAGGATGGATCGATTACTCTGAAGGAGAATTCAGCCAGTGGTGCAGCCACCACACCATCTACCATTAGCAAATCCCTGTACGATCGTGTGCTAAGTCGACCTGGAACTTTGAGTTCCTTCACCCGCAATCGTTTCAAGATCAGCGAAGCCACGGAGACGAGCACGGAGCCCACTGCCTCGAGTAGTGGTTCTCCGAGTGGTTCGTCAAGTGGCACCTCCAATAGCTACTCCAAATACTCCTCAGTTCTGAGGGGCAACAGTCGCCAGGGTCCACAAAACGAAGGCATTGAAAAGTTGGCCGAGTTTGATGGCTTCTTGAAGGAACGCAAACAGTATGTAACTATTAATCGACATCGGTCTGCAAGTCAGGGAGATGAGGAGGAGCATGCAGATCAGCAGGAGGAGGAGGAGAACCTGGCCGTGGTCGAGACAACCACCCGTCGTCCATTGAGCTCAGTCACACCTTCGTACACAAGCCTCCGACGAACAAGACCCACCACAGTGTCTCCTCCGGCAGAGGAATCCCACGAAGAGGCGGCGGAGCAACAAACACAGACTCAGGTCAAATCCTATGCCACCTTAAGTCGCACGCGTGGACGCACCACGGCACCACCAGAGGTCACGGAATCGGCACCCAGTTCTACAACCAATCGGTGAGTGGGTGAAATGTGTTCATGGGGTTTTAATTACATATCCATGGTTGTTTTGATTAAACAAAAATTTTTCCTTTTACTAGTTACAAGTACTTTGAGCGTACGCGACCCACCAAGAGTGCGACTGCCGAGGATGCCGAAGATCCCACGGAGGACGAAGAAGAAGAGTACGATGACGAGCAAAAGGAAATTGTTACGGTACAGAGCAAACAAACCACAAACACACGTAAATATGCGAGCATCGGCCGCAGAACAACCACCACCACAACAGCAACACCAGAAACTACAACAACAACCGCCGGCACTGAGACTGCCAAGGCCAGCACCACCACCAACAACAACTACAACAACCACTACAACAGCAGCAATAACAACAACAATGCGAAACTGAATAACCTAATACCAACAGAAGAGAACAACACAGCAACACCCAGCACCACCGCCCAATCCGAAACCACTTCCACCACACCTAACGAAACCACTGAACCAAATGAAAGCACCTCAACCACCATCACATCCATAACTAATAACCTGCATATCACCACCACTACACCCACACCAATTGTAGCCTCCACTGTCCCCACAACAACCACCTCTGATGGCATAAACTCAGACTCCCTGCTAGCCACCGAGCTGAGCGAAACCTCACCCACCCAACTTCCTCCCAATCCCGACATAGAGACAACTACACCGACAACGACCACCTCAACCACAACGACAACGGAATCCGAACTGGCCAGCACAACAACCACACCGAAAACAACAACCACCACGGGCAACAACGAACTGAATGACGTAAACAACGTGGACGAGGACAGCGAGGTAACAAAACCCAAGACCCAATACAAGTATGCGACCACCAACCGTCGACGTATAACCACAACAACAACAACCACCACCAACAACAACAACAATGCAGAAGCCGCGAACGATGCTAGTCCTGTAAACGGTTTGAGTAGTTTAAATAGCATTAGAACCAACCCGGGCAGAAGGCAACCCCAACCAGAACAGACCCAAACAACAACCACCGAACCAAACCTTTCTAGTCCCCGACCCTTTGGTTATCCCCGACGTCGCACACGACCCACAGCCAGCACTACCACTACCACCACAATTTCCCAAACCGATAATAACGATAACAATACCGATAATAACGATAACGAAACCGATGCAGTTGCGCAAGTAGTGAAGAAGACACGACTATCTGCAGGGGATAGGCCCAAGGTGAGTGCCAGTCTTCCAACAGCAACAGCAATCTCCAACTCACGAACAAAAACCTCCTCACTGCACCACCAAGAGTCCCAAGTAGAAGTAGATGGTAACGGTGGCAATGATAGCTTAAGGCATGAAGTAGTTAGCTCTAGTTTAAGTCAATCCCAAAACCACATCGATACCGATGCCCCACCCAGTACAACTCAGCAGCATGTCAAGTACACTTGGCGCGGGGTGCGACGTCCGACATCGCAGCGTACAGTGGTTCCCAATTCTTTAGCGGGCGACGACAAGGACTCCCGACGCTTTGCCGGCAAGCAGTTGAACAACGAAGCAATTGTGAAAGAGGATCTACAACCGACCACCAAGTTCCGCAGTCGTCGCCTAAATTCCGCCGAAGACGAGTCTGAAGTGGCCCTCGAGGTGGCCACCCAAACGACATCTCATGGCTCCCGCAGTTACCAGAGCATCCAACGCTCCGCTACCAAGGCCACCACAGATGACTCTCAAATCCACTACAAAGCCATCACTCGCGACTCCGAAGGTGGGGCCCATCTCACCGCAGGGCGCAGTTCCAGTTTCGTAAGGAATCTCGGTGATGCGGTCAAACCCACTCAGCCACACCAACCAATAAGCAGAGGAGGACAAATCGTCGAGAGCACCACCGAAGATGAAAATGTTGCTGCTGAGATAATCGATGATGAAAAGCGAGGAGAGACCAAGGCGCCCGCTGGAAGTGTAAATACGGATGATAGTAACACGGCTACCGAACAGGAGTCTCCCGAAATTGTCACAGAAGCAGCACCACCACAACTGGAGATTACCACTCTGCCCGCAGAAGCTTCAGATGTGAGCAGCTCTTCTGAAGCAATTGTTAGCACCGCTGAAGAAATTATCAGCAGCACTACCGAAACGAGCTCCGTTGATACAGTGATTAAAGGAGCTTTAAACATTGAAACTATCAAGCAGGCAATTTCCAAGAGCAACAACGAAGAATCTTCGACTGAAATCAGCTCTTCCGAAGCTCCAGTTAGCAGCACAATTACACAATCTGAAGACTTCAACAGCAGCACCACTGAATTAAATTTGGAAGCTATTGAAAAAGAAGCCTCTAGTATCAACGAAAACTCCAGTGAATCACCTGCAAGTAGTACAGAGTTAGCAGAGAACAGTAGCAGCACTATCACCACAGAGCTTCCCCAAGAAGAAACGACTACAACTACAGAAAAACCTACTCGACGTGCTTTCAACCGCTCTAGCTCAACCACACCTGAAGCTGCGCCAAAAGAAGAATCCACTTCAACCGCAAGCCCTAGACGCCGTGTTATCGTGCGGACCAGAACCAGCACCACGGAACCAGAAGGCGAAGTCCAGACCACCACTGAAGGATTAAGACGACGCGGTTTTTACAGAACCAGCACTACCGAAGCATTTAGCAGCTTGTCTGATTTAGAAAGTGAAGTCCAGACAACCACAGAAGGTCCAAAACGACGCGGTTTCTACAGAACCAGCACCACAGAGGCATCTAGTAGCTCTGCTGATGCAGAAAGCGAAGTCCAGACAACCACCGAAGGTCCAACGCGTCGTTCTTTCTTCAGAACTAGCACCACTGCGGCAACTAGCAGCACCACCGAAGGACCCAGTAATCCCACTGAACCAGAAAGTGAAGTCGAGACAACCACCGAAGGTCCCACGCGTCGTTCCTTCTTCAAAACCAGCACCACTGAGGCTCCTAGCAGCACCACTGATGCCCGAAGCAACACTTCTACTGAAGAAATCGATAGCAGTTCCATTGGCGATGAGGTTGAAGCAGATGCAACCACCACTCGTCGTTCGCTTTTCCGCAAGCAGACGTTGACCACCACAGAAGCCACAACCACAACAACTACAGAAGAAATCGACGTGAGCAGCTCCACCAGGCGTAGCTTCTTCCGCACTAGCAGCACCACAGATGGCACCACAACAACAACCACCACGGATGCGGCTAAGGAGGCTGAAAACGAGACAACCACTGCCCTGCCACGACGACGAGTCATAGTCAGAGGCAGTTTTAGGCCACGCAAAGAGGGAGACCTCTCCTCTCTTCTAGCGGCAGATGCCAACAAAAGAGCCAGAAACAACCACGGCACCACGAGCACAGAAGCACCTAGTGGTCATTCGTCTTCTTCCGAGGAAGATACATCGGAGCAACAAGAACCGCAAACTGTGGAGAGGCCTAGCAGTGGTCGCACTTCGTTGAATGCCGTTCGTAACCGCACAACCACAAAAACAGAGAGCTTAGGAAATGGAATCACTCGTACTCGCACTAGCTATGTGCGCACCCTGGACGCAGGGCAAAAGGTTGTGAAGCGCATCCACACCAAAACCGTGGAGGAGAAACCCGCGGAGTATGAGTACATTGTCGAAGAAAAAACCCACCCACCACCGCCCAGCACCACCCCACGCACTGTGACCCGCAATCGAGGATCCGTCCGCTTTGAGAGCAATGATCTTTCTTCCCTGCTCGCCCTGGACTTTGCCTCCCGTAGCAACCGCAAAAAGCAAGCCCAAACCGAGACGACGGTGACCAAAACGAGAAGACGTCTTCTCAAAAAGCCCAAGGAAACCATCGAGCACGAAGAGGTTGAAGAATTCGAGTACGAAGCGGGTCACGAAGCTGGTAACGATGTGGAGGAGACACCACGTGCAAGCACCACAGCCAGGACTATAATCCGAAGAACCAGACCGACTAGAGGTAGTACGACGACTACAACAACAACCACTGAAATACCAAACGAAATCGAAGCCAGTACTCGCAGGGCTAGCTTCGCCTTTAAGCGACCCTCGAAAGCCAGCACATCAACTGAAGAACCTACAACTACCTCCACAGAACCATCCCCCTCATCAGAATCCACCACAAGAAGAGTTCTCGCCTACAGAAGACCTGTGAGCACAACAACAACTGCGGCTCCAGTTGAAGATAAGTCCACGGAGGAATCAACCCTTGCCTCTGTAGAAGCCACGACTAAAAGAGTTATTTCGTTCAGAAGACCCGTGAGCACAACAACCACTACAGCTTCAGTAGAAGACGAGTCTACAGAGGAAGCAACTTCTGCCTCCGTTGAAGCCACCACCAGAAGAATTCTTGCATTCAAAAGACCCGTGAGCACAACCACTACTGCCGTTTCAAAAGAAGATGAGTCCACAGAGGAGGCCACCTCTACTTCCACGGAAGGCACCACCAGAAGAGTTCTCGCCCACAGAAGACCCGTGAGCACAACGACAACTACACCAGTTCCCGTTGAAGATGACTCTACAGAAGATCAGTTGACGGCGGCCAAGCAACAGTTTGTAAATCGCCTCAAAACCAGCACCACTACGACAACAACCACCACAGAAGCGACCTTAACCACCACCGAAGAAGATTTAAGCGATCTTAAAGTGCAGCTTAGCAACGCCATAAACCGTTTGCAGACAGAGAATAAATTGGAAAGCCAAACTATCACCAAGGGAAGTGAAACGTCCGAGGATGAGGGCGATGATAAGCTTTCCTTACCGATTTACCATAGAAGAAAGTACTATCAGTACGTGAAGGATTCGCCGATTACGTACATAGACAAGTCTTCCGCACCACCAGACATTGACAGTGTAACTGTGAACATTAAACAGCAAATCCATGATGTTTTCAATGTGAGTGAAAATGAAACCCCAAGCAATTCCCTAGGCGATGAGGGAGAAAGCGATGACCATCGCCTGGCGATGGAACAGGCCAAGGAAATTAATGCCGAACTCGGTCATTTTTTATTGAAAACCCCCGGGTCAAATTAGGTCACCCGGGGGCAAAGTTGGTCGGATCAGGAGAGGAAACCCTTGATGATGATGAGATAACTGCTGAAATCGATGAGGATGAAGATGATGATGACGGTAAAGAACGAAGAACAAAGTCCCAGAGACAGGGCAAGACCTTTAAAACGATACCACTAGCACCAGACTCAAGCAACGAGACCTCCAAGATTGTGAGCTTTTCTCTCCTAGAAGAAAAGGAAAGAAGCGAAGACGACGCGAGGGCTTTACGCACCTACACCAGACTAAACCGCACCCGCTTGACCCTGTCCACCAGATTGCAGGAGAAGACCCCAAATGAATCACAAGATACAACAACCAGAAGAAGCTACAGCGTTCCGCAGCGCTTCCGTGTTCGCTCAACGACACCCACACCATCACCTAAGGAAAATAGCGAAGAGGACGATGAAGAAGAATCCCTAGTGGCCAGTTCAACTACTGAATTACCATCCAATAGCTTCAAAAAGTTCCCGACTAGAAGAGTTTTCACCCCCAGAAGACCCGTAAATGCAGTGGTGGATTCCGATTCTTTTAATACTGGTAAGTTGTTCAAGTATTTCTAAAACATTTTCAAAAGTAAAAATTTGTTTATTTCAATTGAAACTGTTTTGTGAAAGATCTTATTCAAAATTAATTTTAACTAGTTGCATTTGTTTCAGACAACGACAACGATAAAGAGTTAAAGGTGAAATCAACGACAAGGCGCACCTATGCCGGCTTTAACAGATTGAGAGGCAGGGGAACTACCACCACAACAACCGAGGCAGCCACTGATTCAACTACCAAGGCAGCACCCACAACCGCGAGAAGCACAAGGCAACCATATGTGGGCATTAATCGCAGAATTACGACAACGACATCCGCAACCTCAACAACCACTGAAAAACCAGGAGAAAATGAGTTGGAAAAAAGTGAAAATGATAATGCAGATGAAGAGTCAACCACTATAAGTTCTCAGAGTGAAGTAAACGATGCTATTGAGAAAAATAAGGTTGAAATTAAAGAAACTGAAGATGTTGATAAGAAAGCTCCCGATGAGGAAGGCGACAGCACTGAAGAGCCCGAATTGGAAGCCCATATAGACGATGATGATGAAATTAAAGAAACTGAAGAAGTTGAGAAGAAAGCTCCCGAAGAGGCAGGCGACAGCACTGAAGAGCCCGAATTGGAAGCCGAAATAGACGATGATAATGAAATCCCTCTGCTAGAAAGCGGAGCTTCTACAGAATCCACTACAACTACGACAACAACAACAACAACCACCAGTTCTCCGACAAGCTCTACCACACGTCGTCAGTTGGTAATTCGTCGCCGTTTTAATAGCACCATAACAACAACCACCACGGCCTCCCCAGTGGATGATGAAAATCTAGAGAATGAGATCGATCAACATGATACGGAGAGTTCAACACCAAAAGCGGCAACTACAACTCCACCAAGGCGGCAACTTTTGATACGCCGACGCTTCAATGCGACCGTCACACAACCAACAAAAACGACAACCGCAAATCCCAGTGCCGACAATGAAATAGATCAGGGCGAGCTAGCTACGGCGTCAACAACAACCACACGACGACCGCTTTTGTCACGTCGTCGATTTAATGCGACTTCCATCAGAACAACCACGACGGGATCAACGAACGGCGACGAGATAAGCACACGTCGTCCGTATGCGGCCTTGAACCGCTCACGTAATCGCTTTACAACACCGCGAGCAACAACCACCGACGGTGGGGAAAATGACGGCGATGACAGTGATGACGACGATGAGGATGAAGAGCAAGTGTCGCAGGTGCCACCGCCACGTGCCGTCTTCCTTCAAACAAACCGCCATCGAGCACTTGAACGCACACCCGAAGAAGAAGAGGAGGAGGAGACTGCAGCTGTGGTGCCAGCACGTAAACCACCCAGCTTTGCAGCTCGTCGCACCACCGCAGCACCACCGAGACTTAGCTCCAGCACAAGACGCAATCTAGTGGCACTCAATAGAAATCTGTACCACAAAGCGGAGGGATATGATGATCAGGATGAAGAAGTGGAAGAACCCGAAGAGGAGTACGATGAAAACGTGGATGGGGAGAATGAACAAGATGAATCCGTAGATCCTCAAATCACAAGCACCACCGCACGTTCGCGACTTAGTCAACTGCTTGCCAATAGGCAAAGACAACCACTCAGGACAACCACCCAAAAACCGACAGAGACAGATAGCAACACCCTTACGAAAACTGACTCGGACAGTGAAAATGAAAAGGAAGAAAACGATGATGATAATGACGATAGCTCCGCCGAGGTATCAAACAGTAACCACACACTAAACCACAGCAATACTCTGGGGGGAGGCACCACTAACTTTAACAATCTTACTAACCGTAGCACCGCACTGAATGTAGCTAGTCAACGTAGTAACAGCACCGTAGCCAATTATATTAATCGTTTCAAGTCAAACAGTTACACAACCAACAACAAACCAGTCACAGTCACAGCTAATCTTAAGCCAGTTAGTCCAGATAACGATGATGTTGAAGATGATAATGATAATGATAATGATAACGATGATGATAACGATGCTAGTCTAGAGAATGAGGGGAAGGAGAAAACGAGTGGGGCTGGTTTGAATGCCTTAGGTAATGATGTTAATTCCACACGACGCTTTCAGAATCGTTATCAATTGAGCCGCACCAGAGGCAGCACCACCAACACCACCCCAACAACCACAACAACACAACAACCCCAAACAACAACCACCGCCAGAAGATTGGCCTTTGGGGGCCGTCAGCGTGCCCAGGTAACTAAACTAACCCTAGTCGATGAGCAGACTGATGAGACCGAGACTAAGGGGGATGCCCACAAAGATGAAGAAGAGGAGAAGGAGGAAGAAGACTCCAATGCAACCACAGCAACAACCACCACCACCAGCAGACCAACACCAAAGCGCATACGTGTGCTTAAATTCCGCAGACCCTTGAATAGCAATAGCAATAGTACCACTGTAGATAGCTCCACTAATAGCGCCACTGACACTAACCCAGACACCACCACAGCCACACCAACAACATTAAGCCAAAGCACCACCAGCAACAACAACAACACGACAAGCACCACTGGCAACAAGCGTTTCCGCAAGATTGTCCGCAAATTGAGGCCAGTGGACTCAAGTACCGAGTCTAGTGTGGATAATTCCGAAGAACCCACCCGTAAACCTTTCGTTCCCAGCCACACCAGATTCGCTGATCAGGATAATGATCTAGTGAATCTCCGCCAGCGCATCAAGGAGCAGCAAGCACGAGGTGAGCCCCAGGATGGAGTAATTAGCAATCGATTCAAGACATTGGGTCAAAAGGACGATCAGGATGTGTCGGACTTGCAGAAGTTGAGAGACAAAGTGAAGGCAGAGCAAGCAAGGGGAGAGGGAGAACAGGGCGTGATTAACGACCGTCTAAAGAAGCTGCTGGCCGAGAAAGGCACAACCAGCACCACTAGCACTCGCCAAAGAGAAGAATCTTCCGCTGATGACGAGTCTTCATCAGTTTCCTCGGCCAGACCGTTCTTTAAACGCAAACTGGTTGCCCGTAGACCCTATACGCCACCCTCGGCCAGCGGCGGTGGCACCACCAAGGCCCCACTGGCATTCAGCACCACCCGACCCACGGTGAAATTTGTGCGCAAGAAGAACGGCCGATTTGATCCCTTCAACTCGAGTGTCCGCAATCGCGGCGAGGGTTTTGTGAGAAGCGATCCTCGAGGCTCCAGATTACCGGGAGCCGATCGCTTTAAGTCCCAGGGAAACAACGAGGATGATGAGGAGGTGAAAGTTCGCCATGAGCAACCGCTGAAGAATCAGTTTGGCACCACTTTGCGCAGACCTTTTGTACCCAAGACGCGACCAGTTTTGGATAGAACCAAGCCACAGCAGGAAAATGAGGCAGAAGACAGCGAGGAGGAGGACGAGGAGGAGGATTCCGAGGAGGAAGGCGATGAAGAGGAGGATGAAGACGAAGACGAGGAAGAGAAGAAGAAGGCAGCGGTTGGGGAGGAAAATCCACAAGAGGATAACGGCCAAGACAAGCCCAAGTTCAATTCTCCTTACAAACCTAAGGATAACCGAGTATTGCCTGGCAGCCGTCCCACATTCGGAGCCACCGGAAGTGGGTCACCACCCACAGCATCCGGAAATGTACCCTTTAATCCCCGCAATCGTCCATCCAGCTCGGCCAACGCGAATAGCACACCGGCTAACCGCTTTGGCACCACAAAGCGACCCCGAGTCGTCAACCGACCACCGGGAGTGGCCTCACCGAACTTGACCTTGAAACCGGTGGCCAGCGATTATGAGCGCACCACACCGCTAACACCACTGAAACCGGCGCCATTTATACCCAGCAACAACAGGAGTTACGAGCGGAAGTACACGGGTCCATCCACGGAGGCCGCGGAGACGGCCAGCGAGAATTCTCTGATCGAAGAATTGAATATCGATGCACTGAATGCGAGGAACAAGAAGATCTTTGACAAGCACAGCAAGAAGCATCCTGCCCTAAAGCCCAAGGTGGTCAAGGTGGAATCTGAAACGGAAACGGAAACGGGAGCAGAGGTGGAAACCGGAACGGAGGTGGCGGTGGAAGAAGAAACCACCGAGGAGCAGCAGCAGCTGGAGCAGGGCTTTGTGACCACCACACCCAGTACACCACCATCACCACCACCACCAGCACCACCCAGCACACAGTCAGACACAGCCACCACCACAGACACGCCACCAGAAACTGAAACCGAAACTGATACAGAAACTGTAACCGAAACTGAAACAGCGACCAATGCTAATGAAGCCACTTCCATCAATTCACAGGATCAATCCCTCTCGAGCACCACTCAAGCACCACCGCCGGCCACCACCTTGCTGCATGTGTTCACCCTGCTCGAGGGCGAGGGCCCCGAAGAGGAGCCGACGACAAGAAGGCCGACCCAGGCCCGTCTCCATCCCACCATACAGACGGAGGTGGTGCCCAAGCACAAGTTAATTGAGATCAATCGCATTGTCGAAATTAATTCCAAGCAGGCCAAGGCTGCCCAGAGGAAATCGAAGGCCAATCATGACTTTGGCACACTGCGCGTGGAGTCCCTGCCCCACGTGGAGCAGCTGGGCGAGATCAGTGTGGTCAAGTATGTCCATCTGGTGGATGGCAGTGATATTCAGATCAACGATGGGCACAGCACAGTGGCGGACTATACGCCCACCGAACCCACCTTTTCGGGGGCTCAGAGTCCCGCCTCGGCGCCGGTGAGGAATTCTCTGCCGGAAACCGAAGGAGGCACCGACACCGATCGCAATGGCAAGTCTTTGGTACCCGAAGTCCTAACTGGCGCCTTGGAGACCTCGACCATCTCGTTGGAGGGACTCTTCGATTCAGCCCGCAAGGGCAAGCAACTGAGCAGCAATAGCATTATCGCCGAAACGGAGACGGAGGAGAGCACCACCATTAGCAGTAGCAGTGCCTCGGCCACCGAAACCGGGGAGACCACCACAGCGGCACCCACTTACGTAAGACCCATTGTACCCCTCCTACGACCCGAGTCCAATGAGTCCTCGCCCCTGGTTATTTCGATAGCCAATCTCGATCAGGTGATACTCAGCAAGGTGCAAAAGTCGCTGGCCGAGGGCAGCAAAACCACCGTGTCGCCCGATGCCGCCAGCGACTCGAATTCGGCCTTCTCTGTGCGCCAGCCGCTGGTGGTGCAGGCTCCCATCAGCAGTGGTGCTCCAGAAACCAACACACTTACACCTAACACCCAAGATCAAGCCGTCAATGGTGCTATTAGCGCGAGCATTGAATCAGTTATACAAACAACAACCACTAGGCCAGTAGACGATCAGGTGGCTGAAGAAACCACAATCTTCGGCATTGACACGGCCACAGAACCACAGCTTAATACACAAACTACACTTGCCATGCCAATTGGTGCTGTTATTATGGGTCAGCACGGTCTAAGCACACCAACAACAACAACCACTTCAGACAATGACAACCAACAAAATAATACTCAAACAACAAGCACAATTAGCAGTGGTACAACAACCACCGTTGACAACAACCACCAAGAAAATACTCAAACAACGAGCACAACAACCAGTGAGGTTAGCAGTGGCGCTATTAGTTCCGAAGCTATTGTTGGCAACAACCACCACCTGAACACACAAACAACAACCACTATTGGCACAATTGGTGAGGCTATTGGTGGCAACAACCACCACCAGAACCCACAAACAGTCACCCAAAACAGTCCAGAAAATACGCAAACAACAACCGCAATGGGCGCAATTGGTGGGGCTATTGGTGGCAACATCAATCTGAGCACACAAACAACAACCACCAATAATAGCGCCAATAGCACCACAACTGTGGGCAGCAAAGTTAGCGAGGCAGTTAGCTTTAGTTCCGAGACGCATGTGGTGCATCGCAAAAAGATGGGGCGCAAGGGGCGTGGCCGTCGCCTGCGCAACAAAAAGACGTCGACAACAACAACAACCACAGAGTCGCCAAACACGGTGAAGGCGTCACTTGACGACACCACCACAGTGTTGCCGGAATAGGTCACAAAAACAAAAATAAGAAACATACAAAAATCCAGAGAAAATCAGCGTAGTTAGTTATTTCTAGTCTTAGCCCTTATCCAGAGAAGAGCATCTTCTGCGAGCTTAACCCTTTTGTTGCCAAAACCTTAGATAATTGGCTGCGTTGCTTTGGCCTAACAACAACCACGGCATAAATCAAATTAAGTAAACAACCATTTCGGCTGCTTAAATACTCTTTCCAAATTTCCCAGTGCTGCTGCTTTTAATTTGAATACTTCTACTATATATATACTTTTTTTTTGCTATGTAAATTATTTAAACAATTCGTATTCTTCGAGCTGCCATACCTAAACAACAACCACAACAACACCCACACATGTACATCCACTCACACACATTCGTTCACACATGCAGATGCGAAAAGTCTTTCCTTGGTTCAAAAATAGTATTTATAGAAATACATATAGAATTCTAGACAAACAACGACCCTCAGTGGATACAATCTTGATCAACTTGAAGTAACTCTTAATGGCTTTTACCAGGCGCAGTTCTCTCTTAATTCTTTCTCTTTTCTAATAATTTTTTTTCACTCTTTCCCTCTCTACCCGAAATACTTTAAGTCTAGCTTTAGTTGTAAAATATTTATGCACAACAATAAAATAATGAACAAAAAGAAACAAACTATACATATTATTATTGCCACAACAGAACACGAAAAACTCTCCCACCCTAACCCCCTGAAACTTGAAATGTATAAAATATTACATATAGGAAAACGAATTGGGATAGTCTTGTACAGAAATCGATTAAGTTTTATTTTATAAACTTATATTTTCTTCTTTTCAGTACATTCGTTAGGCTTATATTTATAGAATTGGTTTGGGAAATATTAAAAAATGTAGTTATCAAAGGGTAGTAGTTAGGTCTTATAAATACTAAAAATGTAAATATAAATTTTGTTTATTTTGTTAAGATTTTTGATAGACATTTAAAGATCGTTAAAGTACAGTTAAAATTATATCTAAGGGTTTTCCAAGCAGCTTCCAGGCAATTCATAGATAATTTTCTTAGGTCTTAATAATATTTCTCTAATTGTATGCGAACTACAATAAGTACTCGTAAATTTTTTTCTTAAATTTCAAAGGTTACACAAAATGATTGTTCAATGGAAAAAAAATTCTTCTGCACGTCTTGGGCAATTATAAATACATTTATTTCCCCCTCCATTTGCTTTTCGATGCTCTTTTAAATGTCACTTGTAGAATTGCTTGCTATTTGCTTAGTCATTAGTCTGGGCTTCTTTTCCATGTTTTCCGTTAAATGTCAGCTTGGCTTTTTTTTAGTTTTTGTATGGAGTGGTTATTGCCACATGCCTATTCATAAGTACAGTGCATGTGTGTCTGTATATGAGCCTGTCTGGATAATCGGTTTCAACTTTCGATGAGTCCGCAAGATGTGCAAAGTCAGCGGGAAAATCAGCAAAAAAAAGCAATAAACAAAAAATAAAAAAATTGAAACGAGCTCAGCTAAAACAATTTGCAAATTGCTGAGAGAGAGGGCCTTTGCAGACGAGACATGTTTCATAATAGCCAGCTAGCAAGTCTCCTCGGAACGATAATTGCCAAAAGTCAAATCACGCGCCGCATAACAAACACGACCAACTGACAGGCGACACCAAAAATCAGGTTGACAAAAAGTCGTTAACGGTTTAACACAGCTTTTTTTTTGAAGTGGGCTCGGGCTCGGAGATTTTTCCTTTCAAAGTGCCCATGAAATGAAAAATCCCATTTGAAAATAATAAAAAGCCAAAGCCGCACAAAGCAAACAATAAAAAGAAGGCATTAAAGAAGATCAAAGGTGTTGCACTCGGGGTAACAGGCTTTGTCATCATCAGTTTGTTGAAGAGTACGTGTGTACGTACAAAAAGCAAATAATGGGGAGTGTTTACACAGAAAAAGAGGTTACCAAAACGGCCGCCATGATATCATATAGGAGTGGATACGCGATGCCACTTTAAAAAAAATATAACCATTACCATTTTTAATTTACTTTTGTGCTTTTGAAGCTAGAAAATCATTACAAATTTAAAATTTAATTAAAAGATTTTTACAAAGCTCTAAGCAGGTTGTTATTTTTAAATATTTCACCAATTTCAAAGAGCAGTTTCGGTTTTTTAGAGTCTTTTTTTGCTACTACTTTTGTAATTTAGATAAATAGATTTAGATTTTAATTGTTCTCTTAAATATTTAAAAATTATCAAAGGGCGTCAATCATTTTTTTTGCAACTACCAATGAATGGTCACCCTTCTCTTTTCTTTCATTTGGCCTTGAAACCCTTTTCTCGGCAGCTGCTTTCCCTGGCGTTCGTGTCTTAAGTCTTTTGTTTTGCCACTTTCACAATAATCCCATTGAGAAGCCAGAAAATCCAGCAGACGACGCCCTGCACGCATCATTAGTCTTCGAGCTGACCAACTGGCTTGCACAATATTTAATTAAAGCCCAACCAGTTTGCAGTGACCAAAAAACCAAAAAGACAAGCAAACCGCGCATCTGCCAAAGTGGAAAAAATCAAGTGGGAATGTTGGGGATTCAGATTACGCAATCACATTGGCATGCAGTCGAATCGACTTGCCAAATACCAAAAATCCAAATACCAGGCAGAAATACAGGCTTTGATCTGCGAATCGAAGAAGAGGCCCATCCGCGTTATGCAAACGCTTCATCTGATGCGTATTTTTCCGGCCCATTCATTGTCTTGAAGATGTGTGCGACATTGACACCAAAAGTCTCCTCGCCAGCAACTCTCTCTCAGCATTTTTAATACAGTACAGGGTTAAGTTAACATACATAGGATTTTTTTCAAACAATAAACCATTATTTTTTCATTATTTACTTTTACAAATTAAGCTAAAGAATGTGAGGAAGAAAGTTGTAATCAACCAAATTGCAGTTTCGAATTTTAAAGTTTAGGGAAAGCTATTAAAGTTGTTACCTGAAAATAGTTTCTACTGCAAACTGAGCTCAAGAATCTTAGAAAAGCGTTAGCTATAGAAGCTCAATTTAGTATAATTACAAAAAATTCCAATATAAGTTGGCCTGTTTTGCTGGTTTCAATGTCAACAACATTGGTGGACAAAGCAAAACTAGCACAAAATAATAGCCGAGCAAATAACTTGTTATGCCTGTGTGTTTTTATTTATTTTGCACTCGAACGTCCTTCAATTAAAATGCCTGACTGCATTTTTGCGGTTGTTGCTCCACTTTGCGGTCAACTTGATCTTGTAGAGATGGCGAGAGAAAGTACCTGTAGAAGGGTTTCCTTTCCTTTACTTTACTTTCCTTTCCATTTCCAATTTCCAATCCCCAACCCACAAAGAAACACAACACAAAAACCCTACTAATTTATTTAAGGCTTATGGTAGATTTCTTTTATGGCTTTTTAAACTAATTCTGTAATTTATTAATATGATTTATTATTGTTTATAGTCCAGCATGTAGCGCGCTTTTGAATTGTTGTTGACTGCACACCGCCAGGAAAGCGCACGAAAAAAACAAATAAGAAAGCAAACACCACACAGCGAGTTGCAAAAAAGATCAAAATGATCAAAATTCGAAAAATTCACTTTATGCTAAATTGAGTGTGTGTTTTATATAATTTCATGTTCCGCGAAAATACCGACTATCAACTACCGACTGGCAGCTGCGACAACCAGCGACTGGCAGCGTTTCGCGGCGACCGGTGTTGAGTGTCCGCCGGCGGATTATCAACTCACCGACGTCGGCGGCGGTGGAAACCACCACGCAGCAGCCAGCAGAACCACCAACGACCTCCAAATACAACCGACTGCGCAGCAGACCCTCGGCAGCAGCAGCAACAACAACCGCAGCAGCAGCAGCAACAACAGCCTTCCCAGCAGCAACATCTGCTGCTGGCGGCAGAACCAGCAGCAACATCTACCTGAACAAGCTGAAAGCCAAGAGCGGAGCAGCAGCGGCCGCATCCGGCGAGGCAGCAACACTGACGCCAGCAACAAGCAACATCAGCAGCAGCAGCAGCAACATCAGCAGCAGCAACATCAGCAGCAATGACATCACACAAAAGCAACACAAGTTTCAGCCCGCCAGCTTCGCGCTGCGTCGCCAATTTCAAACGCGTCGACTGACAACCTTCGCACCGGCGGCCAACGGCGACGAGAGTGGTAAGTACACTGGGAAAAAAGTACAGCATTGCAAAATATAAAAAAAAAGGCAGACAGTAAACTATTTCTCGCTGTGCACGTATTGCCTACAACTCTCTCTGCTCAAATTCCTTAAGGGTTTTATGGATTTTTATTTCCAAAACTTTATGTTAAGTAAAGCAAAAATGAGAAAGACATAAGAAAGCATTTTCTATTCACGTGAAATTTAATTCAAACTACAAATTAAAGTGACCAGTGACAATCCCACAATAAATATGGAGAACCCGTAAAAAATAACTAACTAAGAATCACAATTTAAAAATAATAATGTCATATCTTGCCTTTCTTAATGGTCACTTTAGATAATGAAATGTATTATTTTGATGTCTTATGGAATACACTGCTTTTTTCCCTCAGCCACCGATGTGCCAAGAACCCAGAACCCGCTTTTTAAGCGACGCCTTACTTTGATATCTACCACACCGCCATCCGCTCGCACCACCAACCCACCAAATTCTGGCCTGGAAACCACCACCACTCTGTATTTGAACGACGACGATGAGGACCAAGTGGCCAAGTCGAGCATTCACACCAGCCGCTTCAACCAGATCCCGGAGCAAGTGCGTCCTCGAGAGGAATACGAACTGGCGTTGCCCCCTGCTGCCCCGCAACCACTGAAAAGCACCACCACCACGGCCAGCACCACCGCCAATGCACCACTGCCGGTTGTTAACCAGGGCATACGTAAGCCTCTTTATATGGAAGTGTACTTCCGGACATTCAAGATACATATGTATATGAAAAGAACGTTACGGATAGGAATCACTTAAATTAAATCTTGGAATCTTTAATTTTAGCTGTACATTTTAGCTGTACGCCTCGTTTTGACCAAGTTACGATTGAAAAACCGCAAAAAATGTGTATATTTTGGTCTAAAATCCAACCACCTATTTTTCGGCCCAAAAAATCTAAGTGTTTTGTCAATCATTTTGCAAAATAAGGTCGGAATATAGAATGCCATACCTCGATGAGCTCGTAATTAAATTCCCAATTGATTGGCATTTAAATCTAAAAACTTTAATTTTTGGCCACTTTTCGCAAAAATGGATGATGTAACCCCTTACAAAAAATGCGAAAATGGGTCAAAAAATAAATTTCCCGATTTGTGATAGGGATCGATAGCCTTGGTTGTTAGCTGCTCATAACAGGCGGTCTTTTTGTTATGAGCCTTGATTTGACTAAATTACGACATAAAAACGGCCTAAAAATAACGCATATTTCGTCAAAAAATAAGGTTCCCTATTTTTGCACAAAAAAAATCAGTATTTTGGTCGACAAATTGCGAAATGAAGTCAGATTAAGGAACGTGATACCTCGTTGAGCTCGTAATTAAATTCCCAATCGATTGGCATTTAAATCTTCAAACTTTAATTTTTGGCCAATTTTCGCAAAAATGGATGATGTAACCCCTTACAAAAAATTAGAAAATTGGTCCAAAAATAAGTTTCCCTAAAAGTGATAAGGATCTTTAGCCTAGATTGTAAGCTGCTCAAAACAGTCGGTCTTTTTGTTGTGCGCCTAGATTTGACTAAATTACGACTGAAAAACGGCTTAAAATAAACTTTTTTTTCGTCAAAAAAATGAAGGGCTTCGTAAAATTTTTTCAGTCAGACACCAGGCAAACAGAAATCATAGCAATTGGCAGCTGGTACTTTTAGCAAGTGAACTTAAACAGCTGTTAATTTTCAAAATGGCGGCCCTTAACATATTTCCCCTTCCCCCACTGACCAATAGGAATTGATCTTCATGGGAAAGAACCGTTAGTTGCGAGACAAAGGCAGACCAGAGATGAGCAACCATGGCCGTGTCAGGAGCATGTCACGGGCTTGTCGCGATCTTGTCACGAGCTTGTCACGATAAGCACGAAGTAACAGTGAAGTCCTATGTATTTTCTTAGGCCGCGCCAAAAGGAAGAAATCACTAGGGCATCTCTAAGTAAGCTTGGAATAAGCTAATTAGCTGATCGTTTTACACCTACTAAACGTTTATGTTCGCCTGGTGTCCGAAATTAAGAAACCAAGCAATTTCACCAATTTCTCGACGAGCAAATGAGGTATTTTGGTTTTATGACTTCTATAAATTGACATTTCAATAAGGTCTGAAATTTAATTTCTTGATCTTTGACACCAGGCCAACATAATCTGTAGTAGGTGGCTGCTGGGAGCTAACATTTTTTTAATGGAAGGACACCGTTAGTTTAGTATAAGGAGACTAGAGGTGGGCTCTCGCTTGGTCGGCAACAAGAGGCCTTCGATTTTTTGAAGTGGCACACCTCTAGTCAAGCCTTAAAAACTAATCGTTGGCCACCTACGAATTTTCCTGTTCACCTGTTGCTTGAAATTGAAAAATCGCTAATTTACTTAAACATATTGAAGGGCTTCGTAAGATTTTTTCAGTCAAAATGCTGGATTTGTGGCCCTCAGGCACCAGGCAAACAGAAAACTTAGCAAGTGACAGCTGGTAGCCAAAAGTGAACTTAAACAGCTGTTCATTTTCAAGATGGCGGCCCCTTACATATTTCCCCTCCTCCCACTGACCAATAGGAACTGATCTCCATGGGAATGAACCGTTAGTTGTGAACCAAACGCAGACCAGAGATGAGCAACCATCGCTGTGTCACGGGCTTGTCACGATCTTGTCACAAGCTTGTCACGATATGCATAAAGTAACAGTTACGTCCTATGTATTTGCTTAGGCCGTGGCAAAAGGAAGAAATCACTAAGGCATCTCTAAGTAAGCTTGGAAAAAGCTAATCAGCTGATCGTTTTTATACCTGCTAAGCGTTTATGTTCGCCTGGTGTCCGAAATTAAGAAACTCGACAATCGATTGGCATCTGAAAATTTTAAGTTTTGTCCAATTTTCGCAAGGTCTTTTTTGTTATAAATCCAAAACCCTTTTTTTTGCACGAGTAAAATACAGGAAATCATTCAGACATTTAACCTGGTCTAGTAAATAATTCTTTCGCTCTGTAACTAATCGCATTCAATTGTTTTGCAGGACGCCAGTTGATACCACGCCCGCGTCGGCCGCAATCGACGACGGACACGCCCCTGACCACGCCCACCTCGGGCCCATCCACGCCGGCTGGACACTCGGCTCCTCCACTTTCCCGCCGCCAGCAGAGTCGCCGTCGTCCGCACAAGTACATCGAGGTCTACAGCCGCCCGCCGGCCAAGAGCGCCGTGCTCACGGCCACCTCGAGCAGTCAGCTCCTGGAGGAGGGGTTCCTGGGCCAGAGCCAGGTGGCCCAGAGACGACGCAGCGGAAGCATTTCGCTGGCCAAGGGCGACCCCAAGGTCATCGTCCACGGGCGGGGCATCATCGAGTGCCGGGCGCAGGGCAACTTCCCACATCCCCTGAACTGCAGGAAGTTCATATCCTGCGCCCGGTTCGAGGAGACCGGCGGCATCGTGGGATGGGAGTACACCTGTCCCAAGGGACTCACCTACGACGGCGTCGGCGGGATGTGCACCTGGTCGCCCTCGGATCAGCCCTGCCGGGACTAGACTGATAAAACACAGCCCCTAAGCCCCCTAAGCCTGTAAATCCGAAATCATGTTCCCCTTCGCATCGATCAAAAAACCAAGCCCATTCCCCTTTTAGACACCATGTTGTATATGTTCTTTCCCAATTTGTGATTAGTTCTGCTGAGGTTGAAAACAAGAGAGATGGAAGTTGAAATTCTACGTTAATTATTCTTATTTAAGCTTAGTGATATCTCAACCCAATTTTTTTTGCGCCTGCCAACTCAGTAGTAAGCAAGAAATATTGTCTGTAGTTCATCGTCCCATATATATAGCGCCATATATGTGTGGTTGTGCGTGTGTACGCTATATACCATAATGGATAATATGCTTTCTTTATCAAATAAACATATCATGTAATCCAAAAGCATGGCTGATTTATTGGGGTGGGAATGAGAATTTGCTTATGGCACTCTTTAAAAATAAATATGAATTATATAGTGCAAAGTTGAATAAGTTTTTTGTCTGACTTTTCTGGGAAACGTATAAAATGGATATGCCACCTAAATAGTTATAGTATGGATTTACTAACCCGTATTTAAAAATCTTCAAAATTTAAAATCAACTTTTTAAGGGGTTTTATAATAAGAACTTACCTGACTTTACTTAAAAAATTGACTATATCTCTTTTTAATATTTTACAAATGCAAAGATCTTTTATTGAAAGTTGAAAAACAAAGTTACAGTTGAAGGGGGGAAATAATTAAACTGGGTTATCTTCAGCAAATCGAATAGTACTCTTTTGAATATTTATAAATTGCAGTTTTTTATTGTGCATCTAAAAACGAAGCGTAACTAAACATGGTGGATGCTATTCGCAGAAGGATCTGCGGGATGAGGATGGGCTGGAGTGGTTCGCTCGCATGAGGGGTGTGCGATCTGGTTGTCATCTATGGATCACTGGTCGATGATCTACTGACGGCGGGAACCCTGGCTCGACGAGGAGGGGGACTGGCGCCAGGCCTGGTGGACCTGGTGGAAGCCAGGCTGCTTCTGGGCAGGAGTGCTGCGGCCGAAGGGGCTCTTGGAGTTCACCTGGAGCATGTAGTCGCCCTGCAGATCGAAGTCGGTGGCGATGCCCATGTAGCCGCGCTTGCCATAGCCCTTGTTCTGCTTGTACTCCTGGTACGAGCTGGCGGCCACGGCGGGGAAGTTCCTCTCGTTGCCGGGACGCACTGACTCGGCGAAGTAGCGGGTGGCGCGCATGGAGGCCTCCACCACGTTGTCGGCGCCGGGCACTCCGGTCGAGGGTCCGTTGGGGAAGAAGTCAACGTTGGCCAGCCGCAGGGTGGTGCCCATGCCGTAGGCGGAGGTGTGGATGGCATCGACGAAGTCGGCATCGCCGCGGGCCAGTCCGGTCAGCCTCTGCTCCGGCTTGCCGTAGATCTTGGAGGGGTCCAGGGCGGTGATGCGGCGCAACTTGTGTCCCGTCTGGCGAGTGTACTGGCGTCCAGCCACTCCGGCCACATGGGCAGCGGGTCCGGTGCCGATCAAGTGGATGATCTCCTGGGGCACGTTCACGGTGTTGGTCAGCTCGACCAGGCGGTTGCCGATGATCTCGCCCAGGCGCTCAATGTTCAGGGTGGCATACTGCTCAAAGTCCTCGATGGCATCGCCCAGCTGGATCACGATGAGGTCACCGGTCTTGGAGTCCTCCTGGTCGTCGTTCTGCCTCCTGCGCTGCTGCTGCTGCTCCTCGCTGGAGCCCTTCTGGCGCTGGTCCTCGCTGGAGTAGTCGGTGGTCGGGTAGGGCTGGAGGTTGTAGCGCTGCTGGTAGGCGTTCACCAGCTTCCTGGTGGCCTTCTGCACCTGGCCGTTGGTCTCGGGCAGGCCCTGGATGAAGATGGTGACCTCGTCGTCGCCGAACTTCTGCTGGCGCTTCACCTTCTCCACGAGGGTGTTCAGGTTGAACTCGATCCTCTGGCCGCGCTCGCCGACAATGTAGCCCTTGATCTGGCTGGGTTCGGGGGTGTACTCGGGCCTGAAGACACGGTTGAACTGGGACAGGTGGTCTGGGGAATAGAAGGGGGTGTTATATGAGGTGTTCCGATAGATTCAGAAGCCCGCGAACTCACAGAGCTTGTCCAACAGCGTGGCGCCCTCCTCCAGGCTCATCTCCTGCAGCTTGTTGAGGGTGACCTGCTTCAACGAGGGCAGATCCTCGGTTTCCCGCGGGTTCACCCAGTTGCTGGGCTGCTCCACATTGTCCAGGGAGTTGGAGCGGCGGCCGGAACGGTTGCCCGTCTGGGGGTTGCCCATGGCCACTGCCAGGAGGCAGGCCAGGACGCAAAGGCTGCGCAGAGGATTCATTGTGGCTTTCGGGTTCTCAACTACTTCAGACACCGTACCAAGTTGTACTGCATGCCAAGTGCCGCCATGCCATGGGTTTTTATACCCCCTGGGATACCTAGTACATAGCGTCTATATGTGCTGACTATATAGAATGCACGCGCCGGAAGCAATTGATTTCAGCAACCGATTTCTAGATCAGCACAAATACTGATTGGCAGCGTCAGTGATTTTGCAACACTTCGAGCTCTTTTCGCCGGTTCCCCCATATACTTATTTTATTGGGAAACTTATTTATCCAGCACTTACATAATATAAACAAAAGGGGGTCTGCATGAAGGGGGCCTCACAGGGGGCACGTCTTGAACTCATGACGGGGTCAAGCTTTGGCTTCTGTGTATGAAAACCACTTGGCCATTTATGCGACTTGTGGATGAACAGATTTGTATCTAATTTATATTGTAGATTTTACAGGGTTAAACCTTTTTATTTAATTTTATATTTTTATTAGCATAAACAATGTGCAACTAATTAAAGAAAATGACTTGCTAAAATGCATAATATTAATGAAAAGTTCAAAATATAACCCATCCATCATTAAAATATGAACTTTAAAAACAAAAGCACGCAAGAATAATATTTATTGTTTGTCAAAATAAATAATAATATTTAAAGAACGGAAAGTCTAATTCTGCCTAATCAACAATGCATTATTTATTTATTTAATTATTAATATGCTTTGTTTGCATATCAAGTTTATCCAAGATCGAATTTCAATGACTTAGTTAAAAAGAAATCATAATATTGACAATTCTAAATAGATAAATTTAGAATAAGGCAATAAAATAAAAGGGAATAAAACTGAATTTCCAAGTAATTAAAAGCTGAAATAATAAGCACTTTAGCAAGCGAACAAATAAAATAAACATTTGAATTATAAAAAGAACAAGCTTTAGACATTTCAATCATATCTCTCATAAAAAAATGAGGCTTAAGAACAAAGAATAGTTTTGCAGACATATAATTAAAATAATAAAATAATAAAAAATGATCTCTCACATAATAAACAGCGTGTGCTCCTGTAATACATTTCTAAAGACCATTATAAAATCTTTAACTATATGTATATGTATACTTGGCCTGGAAACTAAAACATTTTATTCGTATCAACGGCGAAAATCTGGAATCAATGAACTGCCATTGGCCTTGAATTGGAAATGGAAAAGTAAAGGGCACAAATTTAGCAAAATGAAAATGAAAAAATATATATTATATAAAATGGAAAAACCAATATAATGGGTATGGAAATACTTGGTTTTATGCTAATATTTGATAGATATTTAACGCACTTTTAACCAAACCCGGAGGCATACTACAAAGTTGCAATCAGCGGAGCCTACAAAGTGATTACAAATTGAAATTATCAGGCGGCAGCAGGTGCTGCTAAGTCATCAGCGGGGTCAGCTGTAGGTATAAGTACAGGGCTACTTTGTATGCACAATATAGACTTATTCCAGCTAGCCATATAGCATATACCCATCCGATTCCCAGGCCCCAGAAACCCTTACTCAGCAGAAGCGACCGATTAAGCCTGACCCAGCGGAAAGAGAGTCTGAAAATCGGAAAGTGCCCGGTGGAGATTGGGCTATATAAGCGGCCATCGGCGGATTGGAAAAGTCAGTTCAACTCGCTCAGTGTTGAAGTCACATCCCCAGGACCGAGTCCCGAATCCGAACCCGAACCATGAACCCCATGAGAGTACTGAGCCTGCTGGCTTGCCTGGCGGTCGCCGTCTTGGCCAAGCCCAATGGCCGCATGGACAACTCCGTCAACCAGGCCCTGAAGCCCTCACAGTGGCTCTCCGGATCCCAACTGGAGGCCATTCCGGCCGTCGACGATCTCACCATTGAGCGTCTGGAGAACATGAACCTGGAGCGCGGCGCCGAGCTGCTGCAGCAAGTCTGTGAGTGTTGCTGAGTTTCTAAAAATATATTCATTGGATTTCTAAAATTGAAAAAATACTACGATTCTGAGGATAGGGCACAAACCAACCATCTTCCAACACTTTTTCAAATGTTTCTTAAAAACTATATTTCAAAATACAAAAAATAATCAGCGGGAATACCCGAGCATTCTAGAAACATTCCAAATATTATTAATCGTAATGTTTAATCCCCTGCAGACCACCTGTCGCAGATCCACCACAACGTGGAGCCCAGCTACGTGCCCAGCGGCATCCAGGCCTACGTGCCCCAGCCGAATGGCGAGAAGACCGTTGCCCCCCTGAACGAGATGATTCAGCGCCTGAAGCAGAGGCAGAACTTTGGCGAGGACGAGGTGACCATCATCGTGACCGGACTGCCCCAGACCACCGAGACCGTGAAGAAGGCGACCAGGAAGCTGGTGCAGGCCTACATCCAGCGCTACAACCTGCAGCAGCAGCGCCAGCAGGGCAAGCAGGGCAGCCAGGACTACCAGGACCAGAGCGGCGAGCAGAAGAAGGCCCAGAGGACCAGCAGCGAGGAGGACTCCAGCGAGGAGGTGAAGAACGCCCGCACCCAGAGCGGCAACATCATCGTGATCGACCTCGGCTCCAAGCTGAACAACTACCAGCGTTATGCCATGCTCGACATCGAGAAGACCGGCGCCAAGATCGGCAAGTGGATCGTCCAGATGGTTAACGAGTTGGACATGCCCTTCGACACCATCCACCTGATTGGCCAGAATGTCGGTGCCCATGTGGCCGGCGCTGCTGCCCAGGAGTTCACCCGCCTCACCGGACACAAGCTGCCCCGCGTCACCGGTCTGGACCCCTCCAAGATCGTGGCCAAGAGCAAGAACACCCTGACCGGACTGGCCCGCGGTGATGCCGAGTTCGTCGACGCCATCCACACCTCCGTCTACGGCATGGGCACCCCCATCCGTTCCGGCGACGTTGACTTCTATCCCAATGGACCCGCCGCCGGAGTGCCCGGTGCCAGCAACGTGATCGAGGCCGCCATGCGCGCCACCCGCTACTTCGCCGAGTCAGTGCGTCCTGGCAACGAGAGGAGCTTCCCCGCTGTCCCGGCCAACTCCCTGCAGCAGTACAAGCAGAACGATGGCTTCGGCAAGCGGGCCTACATGGGCATCGACACTGCCCACGATCTGGAGGGCGACTACATCCTCCAGGTGAACCCCAAGAGCCCCTTCGGTCGCAACGCTCCCGCCCAGAAGCAGACCAGCTACCACGGTGTCCACCAGGCGTGGAACACCAACCAGGACAGCAAGGACTACCAGTAGGAAGTTCTAGCTCTGGAGCACAGCATCTGGAATCTGGAATGGCAACAACCAACCAACCCAACAACCACCCAACCACACACACTGTAGTCCCTAAGTTGAACCCAAATTGGCCCTTTCTTGAGATTACTCAACTATGTAACGAGCAGATCGCGAAATTCAGCAAATAAACGCTTGATAAAGAGCTTAAAAATAACTATGGAGTTTCTAGTCATTTTGGGCAGAGGGTGATCTAAGGATCCCAAAAATATAGGGCCCAAAGGCATATAAATACAGCTCTTTACCCTAGTGTTTTCGGAGCTTTTATCTTTGATCTTTTCAACATTTTAAACTATATACCCCAAGTTAGTATACGCCCACAAACAAAATATTATTGGAACATCCCAAAACGTTTTTAAATAGAACTATATTAAATAAACTAAAGATCTTTACAACAAATTAACCAAATCCTTTAAAAATGTAACTCATTAACTTAGTAATTTCGGGGTAAAACTTTAATCTATTTAACATTTTTTAGTATAAACAAAATTATTTAATAAGTAGAATAATAACAGCCACAAAAAAACAAAATAATATAAAATCTTCAACTAATATTGCATGGTATCATATAAAACATTCTGGAACTTAAAGCTAACCTAAAAAATATGGTTTAACATTTAGAAATTTAAAAACTTAAATAAGCCTTTAATTTTCAAACATTTTTGGGGGAAAAGGCTTACCAAAAATCAGCTTTGAATGGGATATGCTATGATATAATATAATATAATTCCAAAGACAAAGATCATCAATTGTTTTTGTAAACTTAGATTTATTTTATTGTTGTCTGTGTTTTTTGTGGTGTTGAGGTCTAAGCTTCTCCACCGATGGCTTAGCCTTAAATTAGAAAATAATTTCTTTAGAGTGATTAGGGAGCGGTTTCGCTGACGGGAGGCTGGCGCAATAACAATAAACCTCAACCTGAAGCAATAACAATTATAAGTACAGCCAAGACCTTAGGATCTGGCCTTAGGCGAGAGACTTTTGTTTTATTTATTTCGTGTTTTTCTTGAGTTTCGTGTCTTCTTTTTAGTTCACGGTTTAGTTAAGTGCACATTCCGAATTGTTAGAAATATTATTTCTATATATACTTGTTTGCAGCTCTAGCAGATCAATGCAAAAAATGTTTCGAACCAAAACAGGCGGGCCAAGTTGGGCCCCAAAAAATTGGTATAAGCGCAGGCCAAAGTGTCTTAAACATTAACTACAGTCTTTCTTAAGATACCCACTCGCTATCTCTATGTACATCCCTCACATGTGTGTACATTCTTCTCTATATATATATTTTGCATCGGTATATACACATTATTCGCTTGTTTAAAATTAGTTTTGATTTATCTTTTATAACAATTTCATTGTTTCAATTTTGTTTTCTGTGAGTGGAAGCAGTTTTTCTTTATTTATTTCGTTTTGAATATTTGGTTTCCCGGCTACTTTAACTACGTTCATAAATATTCCTATATCATATCATATTCAAGTTAATTAGCTTTGAGGCCGAACTAAAGCACAAGGCATTTTGCCGTTTATTTAAAATGTTTATCAAACGTTTTTCATCGGTTTTTAATATATTTATATATCTATATATAGATCGTTTGGTGCGCTCTACAGTGCAAAATATTTGCTCAATTATAAAATTGTTTCACAGTTTGTTAAATCTTAAAAACATAATCAAAAGCAAGACAAGTTTGGAACGATATAGTCGGGGGTCTGGACTATTGGAGATCTGTTACTATCGACTATGTGTACAAGAAACGTGTTTTACTTTGAATTGGTTTTTAAAACCATTTGTAAATATTCTTAAGGAAACGTAAGATCTAGCATTTTTATTGATCATTTTCAGACAAACGGACCATTTCTGGGTATATATAATTTATTTAGCACTTGGTACCAGATCTCTTTCATGTGTTTTGTTATCATGGCTCTAAGCGATATCGTTTATATCTGGATCCGTGTTATCCAGTTGCTGTAACTCAAATAGCGTGTTGAACTAGGCAAAATCCAATGTGGGTATGATGCATCTACGAGCTTCAGCAAATACATGAGGGCTAATAACTGGATTGGTGTTTCGTGTGCTTTATGGTAAATCCTTACAATGTCCGTTCAATTGAATTTGTATCACAGCAATATATTTGTTTTGGTTTATATTTATAATACGTGTATATATATACTATATAGTTGTGATCCGGGGGAGAAGCATAACGATGAGCAATAAATCAAGGGGATGGTATTTCGCTCTATAGTGCGTTTTGTTGGGTATTTCATTTTTCAAGCTTAGACAGGAGAAACCGAAATGAAAACGAAAGTTTCGATCGATAAGCTCTATGCGTCAGTGGATCTGGACTTGGATTTGGATCTGGATCTGGATCTGGATCTGGATCCCAACTATCCAATTATCAAACCGCAATGCAACAACCTAGGTGACCAGTGTTTGTACTCAAATACGTCTCAAATGCGCTTGATGGTGGGTCCGGTGAAGAAGACGGAAACTTTGCGCTTGAACCGCTCCATGGTGGGCTCGTGCTCCTCCTCGTAGTCGTCGTCGTCGTTCTCGTCCTGCCGCCGGTGGTGCTGCTGGTGGAGATACTGGTGGTGGTGCTGGTGGTGCTTCTGCGGCGGCAGATGCAGGCGTGGCGGTGGAGGCGTCCGATGGTGCTGGCCAAAGATGATGGTGCGCGGAAAGGGCATGGCCACATCGTCCTCGTCCCCCTCATCCGGATCATCCTGCCCATCTGCACCACCAGCACCACCCCCACCACCCTGCTGACCCTGACCGCCATCCGACTCGCTGAAACCGGGATTAAGTATTATGTTCGGTATAAGCTCAATGCTGTCCCAACCGTCTTGCAGTTCTTTAGGCCAAAGGGGGGGTTTAAAAAATAGGTAAATATTAATTAGAAATTATATTATATCAATACAATCGCATTATGTCGATCGCATTGAAAGAGAGGAAGAGATAGAGAGAACAAGAGGAAGAGAGAGAGAAGAAACACACATTTATTAGGCATATTTTAGGTAATTGTTCTGTACGTTACCTTTTTTCTAGGGTTTTATTATTGTTTGTGTGTGGGTAAGTGAGTGTGTGTTTTGGGGTGTTTCTTTGTTTTTTTCTGAGTGTAAGTGTGCAACAGCTTAACACAAATATTTACAGGCGGCGCTTCAGCCAAGTGACACTCGAAAAATGCGGCACTCTAGCCCCCAAGCGTCGCACGGGGCGTATGCGTAATGCAAGCAGCAACTTTGTCTCGCTAAATAAATGTATCTACAGCTGTGTACAAAATAATAGGTATCTATAATTTACCATTTTTTTAATTTCAATCAAATTGAAAAACATTTTTTTATATGTTATTTTTAAAACTGTTCTTTTGTCCTAGCAATAAATATTATTATTATTTTGAGCACAGTTGCATATGCGTGTATATAGTATATGTGTTCTATCTTGTGTCTTTCTGTGTGTGTTTGTGTGCATTTTCTATTGAAATCCAAGCTCAAGTGTTCTCAAAACAAAACTAAATCAAGTCTCAACGGAACATTTCATACAATCCACTCTGTTGGGTTTTCAAAACATTTAATAGTCGTGCTTTTATGGGTTTTATCGTTGCAAATGCAAGTAACACAGTAATATTCGGTAAAGTACATACACGGTTACAACATTGATAAAGCGTTTATCTTTGGTCTAGGCAATTTACAATATTTATTTAGCAATATCATTTGGTTTGCTTGTTGCAGCTAAAGCTTAAAATTGGCTGAGACCTCTAGACGGTTTTTGCTTCGATTTCGTTTCCATTGATTGATTGATTTTTGGCTACAAGTGCAGGCTATCACAGTTTAAGTGCTTAAAGCTTTTCCTCTTTTTTTGGTCTAGGACTGGTTTGGTTTTTTAATTGTTTTATCATAGCGGAAATTACACTTTATATTACTTAAGGCTAGGCTCTACAAAGGGGATTTTTGGTTGAATAAATGGGGGAGTGGGTCCTGCGGCTCAAAATATTTTAAAGATTAAAATGAAAAGTGAAATTTTACACTTAACGTAAGCAACATGGATTTTCATATATATTGTATAACTATAGCTGCCTTGTTCTACTTTGTTTTATGAATATGTGATTCTCCTAAAGAAAGTTATTTAATGCCTACAACATTTAATTTCTAAAAAAACCTACGTTACTTTAAACATTATTGTAATTATTAGATGAAAAATGATTAAAACCGCCTTATAATAGGTGTCTATTAAAAAATGAAAGACAAATAAGCTAGTAAATTTGTCTTGAATAAATATTTGATTCATCTGAACTGAGCTTTTCGCAACAAATACATTTTCGTATGCATGTTGTATGCAAAATTATATTTACAGGTCACAGGAGCCGCACTAAGGCTATGTACACATATTATTTCGTATTTATTATATGGGAACTTAAACATATATTGGTTTATATAAACAACATCCAACGACAAAGCAAACAATTCGCGTCCGGCTGGCGAACATAAAATCTAAATGCGGTTAAACAACACAGTATGGGATATATTAAATATATTAACAATAGCAGCGGCAACAACAACAGCAATGTGGCATTAACGACAACAACAACAACGACACCAATTAACATCAATATAATATAGCCATAACCAAACTGAACAATGCAAGGTAAAAATAATCAGTGAGTTCAAATAAAAAGCCAAATGTAAAAAGAAAAGACCTTTAAAATAAAAACAAACGGGTGAGCTTTGTTGCTGGTTATCTCAGGGATTGTTTGCTGTTTTCAATTTTTTGTTCAAAACTGGGGATATTTTGGAGTTGGAGTTGGAGTTGGAGTTTTTTGGAGCTAAAGCTGGAGTTGATCGACTTATTCTGTACCCATTTGCGCCGACTGATAGCACTCCTTGGAGAGCACAATGCAGAGTCCGATCGCTAATATCACAAGGGTTCCGAGCACTATGCTGACGGCCACTATCCAAATGCGTGGGTCGAAATTGTCTAGGTCGGGTTTTATAAGGCGTATGAGATCTGGATCGGGTGTGACAGAGACAGAGACACGCACACACAAGAGAGAGAGAGAGGGGAGAGAAGAGTAGATAGATGGACAACGAAAATTACCAAAAATACAAATCGAATATACTAAACAATGAGCTATACGTTTACACTTAGTTTAGAGTTAGTCGATAATGCTGGCTACCAATCAAGTTACTAAAGTAGTGACCACGTTTGCGATTGCAATGAGTTTGTAGGGTTTTTCAAAAGGATTTTGTGTATAATATTAAAATATAATATTATATAATATATCATATTGAAATATAATATTTTGTAATATATATATATATATATATATTATATTGTTTCGATTGCAATCCCATCTCATGGTCCTTAATATAAAGAGGTTGACACCAATTGGAAATTAGGAATGATAAACTACCGTTTAAAATTACAGTTTACACATTTAAAGTAGAATATCAAAGTTGTACGGAAATAGTAGTCATAGTCAACATAATCTAGACCTGGATTGGACCTAGCCTAGCCTAACCTAGTAGAGCCTAAGATCTCTATGGTTCGAATGGATAGTAGTGGTGGTGGCGGACTCACCCTCCTCCTTGGTTTCCGGCAGCGTGGTCACGTTGGTGGTGACCACCTCGCCGCTGCCCAGCTCGTTGTTGGCCCATATCCGAAACTCATAGGTGGTGTTGGGTGCCAGGCGATAGACCTCCATTTGGCGCTATAAGAAATGCATGTGAGGGATACAATAAAGGCCTTATAAAATTCAAAGCAAAATACAAGCTTAAAATCCATAAATTAACTATAGTTGTTCCATGTAATATTTAATAAATCGCAACAAGCGAGGAAATTAATGAATTTACTAGGTTTTTTCCAGGGTATTCTAGTTTAATTACAAGGTAATCCCTAGTACTATAGAAAATCGTGAAATACTCACCACATTGAAGGCTATGTTGATGGGATCCATCCTGCTCCAGGCATGCTCGAAACTGGCATTGACCGGCGGCGTTTTGTAGGACACATTGCGATACTCCGCCGTGAAGCTGCGCACCGGATAGCCCCCGGACTGGGTCTTGTTGAAGCGCCAGATGAGGAAGCCCAGTATGGTGGAGGCCTTGAAGTACAGCTGCGAAACCGGACCCGGAACGGTGCGAACGGTGAGCCTGGTTCGCTGCTGGGCCTGGTACTCCACTTCCTCCTCCACCGCGTCCTCCACTTGGGGTTCCTGCTGGGAGTCCTTCTGGGATTCGGTCTCGCCTTGGGATTCCTTACTGGTACCATCCCCCTCATCATCCACCACTGGATGCGTTTCTTTCTCCTGCTGACTTTGCGGTGAGGTAGTTGCTGATATTGCTGTTGTTGTTGATGGGCGTGGCACTGAGGCGAAGCATACGTAAATTCCCGCATCCGTAGTGCTCACATTGCGCAGCACCAAAACACGACCAGTCTTTGGGAAAAGGATATATGGTATTGGATAGAGCATGCTCTTCAGAGCGATATCGCCAGCAGCTCACCTGGATTATCGTGCTGTTGTTGCCGTGCTCTTTCACCCACATAATATTTCCCTGGGCTATGCAGGGTATGCTCACATTGCCGCCCTTGTCCGTCGCGTATTCGTTGTACTTGATCGTAGAGCTGAGTACCGTGAGCACTGCAAATAGATTGAAGTAATGATATACAAGATATATACGTTGGTATCAATACAGCAAAGCTTAAATATAATAGATAAAGGTCACCCCATTTCCAGTATATCATAACTTGTCAAAAAACATCCTCATTGTTAAGTGTCACCCCTTCCCCAACTAAGCTCATCGAGTTCTAGTTTTGGGTCACCTTTTTTAAATGATGTCCCCAGCAGGCGAGAAAAACGTTGTCAAATTTAAGCAATCGGGGTCACCAAGTGCATAAACTCGTCCCCCTGATAAACCAACCCCGTTAAACACGCTCGATAAGATCTCCTAGCACCTCCTCTTTGATTAATTGGAAGATATCTTCATAGCTAGTAATAACCTTATAAAGGGAACCCTGGGTTCCTCAGTTGGTGACCCAATGTCGTTGTGGCTGGAACGCTGTATAACTGGTTATTTCCAGCTTTTTGGCCTGGTTTGCGGCTGGAGCGGCAATCGTTTGGGCCGCCTTTTGGGCAGTACCTTCCTGGTGATAATACTAATTGAACTGGCCAATGAAATAGTGAATTATTTCAAGGGTGCTCTTCCGAACGGAGATCCCCTGTCCTCGTACTTTGTGAAAACCATCCAGTCCGTAAATGTGGCCTACAAAATGGTTCATTCATGGATTATCCTAACGGCCCTGTTCGAGTGTCAGCGGGTTCGCCGTCTGCTGGAGCAACTGCCTCTGGTCAGGGGCAATTCCTTTATATATAGACATTTTATACTGGAGCTAGTGCTGGTGGGATGTGGCCTGACCCTAATCTTAGTTGAGTACAATGTGGGCGGCCTGTATCTGGAGAGTACGCAATATGCCTTTAGCCTTCAGGCAGTTCGGGCTCGCTATCTGCAAATGATGCTAATGGTGCACCGTTTGGATGGCCAGCTGGAGCAACTGCATCGCCGAGTGGTAACCAGGGCCACAGATTACAAAACTCTCAGGTACGAATATGCCCATCTGGCCAAATTGTCGCGTTCCCTGTCGCGTCTCTATGGCCTCTCGTTGCTCCAGCTGAATATCCTTTGCCTGGGCGACTGCATAATCATCTGCAATGTGTACTTCATGGTGGAATATCTGAAGGCAATGCCTGGCAACTGGTTTGTCTTCGCCCAGACCATGTACGTAGTGCTCCCCACTCTCGTCAAGATTTCGACTATGTGCGCTGCGTGCCAACGATGTGTTGCAAAGGTGAGGGTTTATAATGGAATCAAAACGGATTAAGGTCCACGTAAAAAGTGTCTAAAAGTACAGACATGCAGCTTTACATATTGTATATTGCCACAGAAAGCCAAAATAGTTTAAGTGTGCTCAAGATATATAGCTGCATACTTTTAGACAACTTTATAAGTAATTTGGTGTAAGTAAAATGAGTTTTAAAGATTTTCTTAACATTTCGTACAGTCCAAACACTTGCAGGAGCAACTCAACGATCAACCAGGACAGACAGCTTCAGATAGAAGTCAAATCGAGGGATTCGCCCTTCAAATAATGCAGGATCCTATACAGTTCGATGTCTGTGGAATTTATCACCTCAACCTGCAGACTTTGGCAGGGGTAAATTTACATTTGCAGACAAATATTATTACCCATATTATCCGTTACCCATTTCAATATAGATGTTCTTCTTCATTCTGGAGGCCCTGGTTATATTCCTGCAATTCGTGTCCCTCGTACGGCCGTAGGCCATGTTCTAATAAATCATGGGGGCTGGGGTGATATATCGGGTCAGAGGTCAGCGGTGGGAACATGCAATATGATTTGCTTGCCAAAAGGAAAAAGGCAAACAGAAAAAGCAGGGGGCGAAAAAAGCTCCTCAATTTAACAACGTTGTTGTATTTCTGCATGCAGAAAACTCTGAAAATGTTGCTGCGACACGCGAAGGTCATACACACACTGCTTACATATTTATGACGCTGCCTGTTTCCGCTTCTTCTTCTTCTCATTCTCGTTCGACAGGAAACAACAAAAAAAAAGCAAAAGGCAGCAAGAACAACAATAAACACCAAAAGCAACGTCATTCCATTCCTCATTTTTATTTCTGGCTTTCAAAAGTCACCTAGAAACACGGCTTGAGGAGGGGTTAAAGATGGCGTTCCATCAGTAAGTGGGGTTCAAAGGTGCCGATATTAAACAAAAAGAATTCATAAAAGGTTCTAAGGAAGAACTAACGAAATTAAATAAATAAAGAAAATAATGTATACATTAAAACCAACATTTAAACAAATAATATACACAGGATTTCATGAGCAAACCTCGATCCTTATTAAGCAATCGATTTCACTTTCTCTTTGGTATATGTATTTATTTAAGTTAGCATCGTCAAGCTTTAACTTTCCAAATTATATTCCCATGTTCCGATTTTCTTGAGTGGCTCACTTAACATGGATTAAACTTTTATGGCTATAATATATCGTCCGTTCCTTGTAAGCCAGAAATCTGAAAACTTTCCCGCTACATGAACTTAATGAGATTGCTTTTTTAAAGTTGGCCATTTCTTGTGGGTAATTCCGAGCTCAAGGCAAACAAACATTTACCAAAAACACATTTCCTCATACACATATGAAAAGCCAAAAAACCAGATATGAAACAATTTTAAGGTTCAACCTTGTCCAAGTTGGGGCAGATGTAAGACAGTCAGTCATCCATAATGTTGATAAAGTTTCGCACAAGCCAAAATGGCCATAATAAGTTTGCACCGGGGGGTTCTATATGTTTGGGTTTTGGGGAGTGGGTGGGTGCTGAAAAACAAAACCCAGCCCATGTGGGGTTATGTAAGGCACAAGCTGCTTGCCGAAAAGTATGCACCACCCCTTGGAAAATCCGCCCACAGCACCATCATCCCTTGCTGACGTCAGTTAATTGATTTCAACACGAATCCAATTGAGACGCCTAAATTTACACGCAGAGAAACAGATATAGCAATAGTACTAGTGGACATCAAAAAACATACCGGGACAACCCTGAAATCGATATATTTATAAAGAAATATGTGAAGCTCAACAAAAATTCTTAAATGTTCGCAGATACGCATTTGTGTACTACCTTTGATTTCGGTATATGGTTAAAGTGGCCATTCCATAAAAATGAGTATAAGTATAAAACATCTTAGGAACTAAACCTACGTTACCTTTATATAACAATACGTTCCTCAAAAAGTCAACCAAAAATTGTCAGTAAATGTTCGCATGCCCCATCAATCTTTGTACGTACACCCTTTACTTTAAATTTGGCGCAGTGCAAGGTCACTCAATCAGGCTGTCGTTCAATCATTCACTTTGTCGATGGGCAAACCATCAATTGTCGAGCGATTTAATTAGGTCGCCCCAGGGCTCTTTGGCCGTGACGCGATTTGGCCAGTTGCCTATTTTTAGACGCGACTTACATTGATTTTGCCATAAACGCAGGCCACCCAAGCGGTGGAAAGCGACCACAAAAACCACATTGGAAAAACCCAAGCAGAAACCAACCAGCGATAAACGTAACCCAATCCAGCCATCAAGAAACAAAATCCGAGACACAACGGCAAAACAAGCATAGCAGTCCGGGCAAATAAATCCGGAGACAGACGGGCGGGCGACACCTTTTGTTTATTAACCGGATGCGGAACCCCTAGTTACCAACTATTTACCCCGACGACTGATTGGCTGGTGCGGAGGAATTTCCCCGGAAAGAGCGGAAAATGAGGGGGGTTGGGTGTTAAAAAGCAGAAGGCAACAGAAAATGCAACTGAAATGTAATAAAATAAAAATGTTTGCCAATTGGTTTAACACGGTGAGAAGTGAAGGACTTGTGATGGTTTTTCCCAGCCCCTTTCGTTTTCGTTTTCTTTTCCTTTTTTATTTTTCCCCCATTTATTTTTATTCCCACGATGGCCACCCCAAAGCAACCACAACACCACTTCAGCGCGCTTTTCATGGAACTGCGCTTTTCTGTAATTAATTATTTAGGCACTCGCCCCGATTTGTGCCAAACTAGGGGAACGGCTGAGTACAGTAATGGATCCTTAAGGCGAATTTTCATAAGGAGATTTAATTTCAGGTTCTTGTGTGTAATTCAAACTTGTTTTTTGAGCTAACAACAAGTAATGTAATTAAAATGAATACAGGTAAACGAGTTTGGGATAATTTAAATTCTTCCGACAGTGTATAGTTATAAAAGTATCTTTAAAACTTAAAAACTTCCCTCCAACGAAGAATTTAATCTTGAATGTCTTTAGTTTGGGGAGTTTCCCCTGTGCTTTTCCCCCTACTCGCAGCACGTTCCTGTTTGCCTGCTGCTGCCATTTTGCATAATTTGCGGTCCCGACTATATCCTTTATCGTCCCTACACGTGCTATATCCTCGGATGTGCCCCTCAGTTCGGCGATTGAAGCAACAAGCGGCGAAATAAAGTTTTGCTGATGGCACCCAGCTGGGAGATCGAATGCGAAGGGATGGCCAATGGAAGGGTTCAAAGGTCGCCGGTGGGGCAAACTTTTCAAGCACCCACTTGGGTATCTGAGCAAAAGTCGGGGTCCTCTTGAAATGTATCCTCGTCCAGGTATGTAAGTCGGCTTCTGATTTTAAATTGAAAAATATTGCCCACTTCAAAGGCCGGGAGAATCCTTCAGGCTGACAGGCATCAAACGAAGGAAATTATTTCATTTAACCGGATCTCATTTATTTGCACATCAAATTTTCTACCTCAATTAACAGTGCATTTAAAATGTATTTAAATATTTACATTTGTACCTTTTTCATTGCCGGTTTACAGCTTTAAGAATTAAAGTATTTATACAATACTTTCTGTGATAGTGTAGTGGTATTTAATGGTTGGGCCTAATATTTTAGTCATTAAATCACTTTAAAAAATAATTTAAAATAAATGCAAATTAAAGACAATATAATTTTGTAATGTTTGAGGCTTAAATTTAAGCGTCATATTTTTTCCCAAATTGGCAAACACTCTAAATATTCCCTCTTGTCCGCAAAAATTAATTAAATATTATTTGAGTTAGTTGTTGTTAATTTCGTTGCTCGTCAACTTATTCGATTTGCATAATCAACTGATCAACTAGCATTAATCTTGCTCGCATTTCTGTGTGTAAATAATTTAATTATGGAACAGTAAGCATGGGTGCGTGACTGTTGAATAATGGAATAGATGCCATTTCGAATGATTTCACTTCGGTTAATGAAGAGAAGAGCCCGCAATCCTGTCCTGGAAAACGCTATCTCGGGAACCCCGGCAACTTGGCTCTGTCAGTTTTGAGTGGAATTGAGTGCTGCAATATTTATGACTCCCCCAGCGAGTGTCGATTGCATTTCGTGTCACCGGCAAATGCCCAAAAACCCTCCTCAAGACCCCTCAACACATGAGCCAAACAAACAACAACATTATGTGTGGGAATACATTTAGCTATACGGAGAGAAAATATCACCAAAAACAGTATACAATATTGTTACAAAACATAACATAATAGCCTATAATTTTTTTTACTAAGTCGATTTTTGTTGATTAAACTATGATTTTATAAATGTTTTATAACATTTCCTCAAAATTTATAAGTTTCAAATCATGTTAAATGTTTTATAACAATTCTAATCAGTTAAACACACGCTATATATCGGTATTTGAGTTTGTTTTTCGACGTTATTTTATTTAAGTAGCTTACGATGGCCGTATATCTTGTTTTCTGTGTACGTATACGACAACCCTGACATTTTTATGGAGCTAAATAATGCATTTGGCTTAGAACGACCACAGAATGTCCATCGATTCCCCAGAAGCGACAACAAATGGGGGAAAAAGGGTAAAGGAGAAATGGACAAAATGCAGTTTAAGCCACAAGACCATTAAATTGGAATTTCATAAAGCTTTCAGGCATAAGTGCGCACAACAGGGGTTAAGCATAGGGGCTTCGGGGCTAAGATAGGGGCACAAATGTCAGATGCAGCTGTTGCCCTCAAAAGCAGACTATGCGATTATTCTGCTGGCACAACAAAATAATAAAATATATGGCCCAACAAAGCACCATAGAAAACAAAACAAATGAAAGGGGGAAACTTGCTGGGCGAGTAAAGGCACACAATCGATAAAAGGGAATTTATTGGAAAATAAAATTAGCACATAAATTATTACGAACTTAAAATCAATTGTAGAGGTGTCTAAAAGTATGCAGTATTTCCGTTTTAAAAAAATTTTGCATACTTTGAGACTTCTTTTTCAATAATGCAAATGCCACTATTTCCTGGACAAAACGCCAATAAACCTTTTCCAATAAGTTTCTGCTAAAGAACTGCGGCTGGTGAAATTCCATGCTAGGAACCACCGAACCGAGATGCATTTCTAAAGTCTTTACATTCCACTGAATGCCTTGAAAAAGTGTGCATTCAAAAATAAAAACATTTCCTTGGTGCACGTGGCATTCTTCAACGGTCAAAGTGAAATGCAATCTCCCATGGCCAAATTGCCCCGAATACGGCCCAATCAAACGACAGAAACAACTGAAAGGCAGACACTTGACTGGGGGACAGGGGAGAGCCCAAACCGAAAACCGAACAAAAGAGTCATTCAACGTTCTTGTTTTTCCCCCATTTTACTTTTATTTCCAGCTCGTTTTATATGCATATTCTCTTGACCAAGAGCCGAGGAAAAGTCTACGAGAAAAAGGAAGCGGAAAATGCTGAAGACTTTCTCTGCAATTCCCCGAGTCACTTTATTATTATTATTGCCCACGGGCAGAAATGCTGCAGGGCAGCAGCAAACAAAATAAAATGCCAGAATTAATTAAAATTCATAATTAGTTGCATTTTGCATGCCAACGGGCCACGAGGTCACGACGAGAGCTAATCCAGCCTGTGGCTCAACTTGGGCTTTCCACACAGCACAGTGGCTGAAAAGCGGGCGAGAATGGAGTTTAAGGGTCTAAGGATAATACAAGTTGTATTTTTATGTTATAAGATTTTAGAAGGCCTTGAAAGTAAAATATTGAGCTCGTAATTAAATTCCTAATCGATTGCAAAAAATGCGAAAATTCGTCAAAAAATAAATTTCCCGAAAAATAATAGAGATCGATAGCCTTGGTTGTTAGCTGCTCATAACAGGCGATCTTTTTGTTATGCGCCTCGATTTGACCAAATTACAACCTTAAAACGGCTTAAAAATAACGTATTTTTCGCCAAAAAATTGTACTCCCTATTTTTGCACAAAAAAATCAGTATTTTGGTCGTCAAATTGCGAAATGAAGTCAGATTAGAGAATGTGATACCTCGTTGAGCTCGTAATTAAATTCCCAACCGATTGGCATTTAAATCCAAAAAAATTTAATTTTTGAAAATTTTTCGAAAAAAAAGGTGATACAACCCCTTACAAAAAATGCGAAAATGGGTCAAAAAATAAATTTCCCGATTTGTGATATGGATTGATAGCCTTGGTTGTTAGCTGCTCATAACAGTCGGTCTTTTTGTTGTGCGCCCCGATTTGCTTAATTACGTTATAAAAACGGCTTAAAAATAACGTATTTTCGTCAAAAAATAATACTCCATATTTTTGCACAAAAAAATGCAGTATTTCGGTCGTCAAATTTCGGTAGGAGGTCAGAATTACGAATGTGATACCTCGTTGAGCTCGTAATAAAATTCCCAATCAATTGGCATTTAAATCTGAAAAAATGAAATTTTTGAAAAATTTTCGAAAAAAAAGATGATTACAAAAAATGCGAAAGTTCGTCAAAAAATAAATTTCTCCAAAAGTGATAGGGATCGATAGCCTTGGTTGTTAGCTGCTCATAACAGGCGGTCTTTTTGTTATGCGCCTCGATTTGACTAAATTACGACATAAAAACGGTTTTAAAATTACGTATTTTTCGCCAAAAAATAATACTCCCTATTTTTTCACAAAAAAATGCAGTATTTTGGTCGACAAATTGAGATAGGAGGTCAGAATAAGGAGTGTGATACCTCGTTGAGCTCTAAATTAAAATCGCAATCGATTAGCATTTAAATCTAAAAAATTTAATTTTTGAACATTTTTCGAAAAAAAAAAAAAAAATGCGAAAATTCGTAAAAAAATAAATTTCCCGAAAAGTGATAGGGATCGTTAGCGGAGTTTATCAGCTGCTCAAAACATCAGGTATTTTCTTTGTGCGCCTCGTTTTAACCATGTTACAATTGAAAAACAGAAAAAAATGGGGGTATCTTTGTTTAAAATCCTACTAGCTATTTTACGCCTCAGAATGGGTAGATCTTGGAATCTATTTACCATGGCTTATAGCTGTTTTTACCGTCCCGAGAATAGAGCCCCATTAACTTCCATTTCACATTCGCCTCTCCAAATGAATTGCCATGTTAAAGTTTATTGCCATATGGTGTCTTGCTTATTTGAATGGAAAAAAATCTACTTATAAGGGACTAAAAATATGTTCAAAAAAGTACTTAAAATACAAATAATAAATGAGTATATTATTCAATTTTAATCACAACATATCCTTTTTTAATTTGATTTAATTATTGTGATTAATGATAAGAGTAAAATAAAATATTCATCAAATGTTTTTTAATAATAAAAATATTTAAGTGTAGCAATATTTGCGAACTTTTTCTTGGATACACAACCACATGTCAGGAGTGACATTATTCAGAAGCTAACATTTTTCTGATTCTGTTTAATCAATTCCCTTTCTTATAAAGAGTTCGAACCACGGTGACCGTCCTATGGCAATTCTCATTTCGCACTTTATTTGCTTTGCAGGAGAAAACAGATGGCAGATGAAGGGGGAAATGGGGTTAAGCGGGGGGCGAGGGAACAGGACTTTCTCCGTAATGATGTCCCCGCCCATTGACGACCCCGCCCACTTGTTGAACCTGTTCCTCTTGTTGTTGTTGTCTGGTATTTCTGGTTCCATTCGGTTGGCATAATTGCAAAATGCATTTTTCTATTGCCTATTTCGAAGGGTTTTATGTGTGTGGGTGTTTTGTGCGCTGTGTGAGCAATTAAAATCGGGTGCAAACAAAAATAATCAAATATGTCTGCCCCTCTAATGGCTTTTTGAATCAACTAACCAGGCGGAAAATCAATGCAAATTTAAATTCACACACGTCCCAATAAGTAAACAAGTGTGGGTGCCCGTTTGGTTGTGGGTGTGTGGCACTCGTCTTTTTTTTTGGTATTGACATTGAAAACCTGTTCCCAACAAACCACAGCCATTGTCTTCAAATACCCTTTGCCATAAAGGAGAAGGGATATTGGAAAAGCTAATAAAAATATTATTCTTTAACTTAATGCTCAAGAATATTAGTTATATTCTTCCATTGACAACAGAACTAAGGTATTATGTTTATGGAAAAATACTTTGAAGTATTGTAAGAACTTGTTAAGACCTCTAACAATTTAAGGAGGCTCAAATCACTTATAACGGTGTTTAAAAGTATGCAATGTTATACTTCACACCCGCAATTCCAATGGAAAGTTGCCAAAAGTAGACCTTATATTTTTCAAAGCATACTTCTGGACACCCTTGCAAAATATTTCAAGCCTTCAGATTTCTGTGGCGCACCCTAAAAATTTCTCCACTTTTAGGTACTGATCATTCATGAATGTAAAGTTTTATTTAGTTCCCAGATATATTGAAAAACCTTTGGATAGGGCATTCAGAACTCCGTGGATGTCCCAAAGTCTAGACCCCTCTTCTAATTGCACCTTGTGGCCCGGGTGGCAAGAGCCTAAAAATAGTGTCAGAGCCCTTGTTGCATGTGTTTTCATTTTCTGTGTGGTGTCGAAGTGCTGAAACCGCAGTGTTGGGTCAACAAAAGTGGGAACTCAATTTTGATTGGAGGGGAAATTCTTGGCGACGCGTCCTTGACTGCGTTTCTATCTACCCGATCTTCCCGTCGGCTCTTTAATTTGCCAAAAAGTTTCTTTCCAATTTGCCAGCCACACTTTGTCCCTCAATTAAGTCCAGAAAAAATCAATTTGTCCAAAATGAACAGCTGCAAAAGTTTTATCTTGGCAAACAGCTCTGCTGTGTGTTACCGCCTTTTGTTTTAATTAAAAGCAAATATTTTTAGCGACGACGGCTATTACCAAATAATGAGTTTGGCCAAGTCAACTGCCTCTCCACCCACTGCTTTTTCTGTTCTTTTTGGAGGAGGAGGTTAACTCCTGGCTGAGGTTTCGCTGTTGCAGCAACAATTCAAGGACTTATACGCAATTTGCATGCAAATCAAGTTGGTCAGGCCGCTTTGGTGGCTCTTTAAACGGGTTGGGATTTATGTGGGGGCCCCTGGAGGTCGGATTGTTAGATTCTGATTGAGTCCAGGCTTAGGGCACTCTGACTGAGATCTATTATCTTGTGCGACTGTGGGTGGCGCAATCTGAGCGCAGATTTATGGCATATAAACGGAAAATTAAACAACTGCGGAAATAACAAAAAGAATCCGAGTGAAAAGGATGGAAATAATAGAGTTGCTCAAACATTAGGTGCACAGAATTCTTTATGTTTCTTCCTAAGATTTATATAGAAAATCTTTCAAATCACTAAGGTCTTGAAATCACTCAAAATGGGCCTAAAGTATGCAACAAAATAATTAATACGAAATATCAAAAAGATATATCCTTTATGCACTACAATATATTTTCACTGCATACTTTTAGGCGCATTTTAGGAGATTTAAAAACCCTTGTTTTGTAGCACCCTAAAAAAAATAAATATTACAAAAACCAATTTCTTTCCTTTTAAATTTTAACCATAATAAAATTACGTTCTTGTTTCCATTCAAGTGGTCACTTATAAAATTATCAGACGAAAAGCATTGTTGCAGATTCAAGTGGGACACAGTACCCTCTCATTTAACTTGGCAAATGGACCTCCTAATTTACCCGAATCAGCAACAATGTTTTATCATAATTTACCATGCTTTTCAGAGGTCCCCGGAAACCCATCAAAATTCCCCACATAAAGCTGAAAACTCGACCAAAATTTGTGACACCCTCTGGTTACATCCCGACTGGACTCCAAACTGGACACGCATTAATCCCAATCGGGCCATCGGACCCCAGAAATGGGGGAGTTATGTAAAGTGTCAAGTGCTTACCTTGGGTGAAAAATAATAGATTAAACGATGACAACGCTAGCACGGAGCTGGAAGTGGACGACATGCTTCCATAGCACGCTTTAAGCACGCTTTACATAAGCCGTCGTGGGTGTTCCGTCGCCTCTGCCTCCTCCTCGCTTTATCGCTCCCTCCCTTTTGGCCAAAGCCGGCTGCAAAGCAATCAACAAGGGCACAGGCACAGAGAGAAAAAATAATAAAAACAAAAAGCAGACGGCGACGACGCGCCAAAAAAAAATAAAAGTTCCTTTGCTGATTTCTACTTTCTCCTATTTTATCCTTTCACATTTACAGTTACTCCTGTCGCGTGCGTCTGCTTTGTTGTTATTTTCTTTCTTTATTTTCGGCTCTCTCTCTCCTCCACCTTTCTCCTCTCCGTTGGCTCTTCCTCTTGCGCGACTCCTTTTGACGTAACTTCAAAATGCGGCTGATGATTTTTCGGGGATTTTTAGCACTACTAGGGGGGCTTTGAAAAATGGTATTCTATGCAACTGTTACTTCGATGTATTCAACTTGAAAAAAAATAAATGGTAGTGTTTATTTAATTAAACTGCAGTCGGTGTTTGGAGAGAGTTGTTGTCGACGGGACACTGAGTTCGCTAGCCGTCCGCCGTTCATGTACCGTTGCGTTCGAGTTGCGTTGCTCGACTGAAACTGAAACTGAAGCGCTTTTAAATCGGCTTCGTGCCAGGGACTCGGAAAATCGCCCGCCAGAGCTTAGCCTTCGGCTATATACCCGCCAGATCTGGCCGTTTTTGGAGGGGAAAATGGTAGCTAGACCTAGCATTTGGGGTGCCAATAAAACATCTGGAGGTTTGAAGTAAAATCTCCACAGAGTTAAAATGAAACCTTATTAAAAATTACCCAAAAGTGGGATACATTTCACTTATTTCAAAGGACAGACATTTTTTGAGATTTTGACTCACTGGAATCTCTTGAGATTTGATAACAGGTGTAAAGGTGTCAAAAATGATGTTATGATCTTTTAACATGTATTTCAAATAGCTAACGATTTGGGGGTGACACACAAATCACTAGCGATTTGAAATCACTTTTCAATCTTATTTAGGGTCTCTAAAAGTATAAAGTAAATAAAAATTGTCGTCTTTCTAAATGAATTCATAAAGCTTCTGGGATTAACATTTTTTGTTGCATACTTTTAGACACCTTAACATGCACTTAAAAGTGATTCCAAAACTATAGTGACTTGTGCATAGATATTACTTGAACCAACCATATTATGGTTTTCATGGTTATACATATTAATGGTGATTACACGAGCCAATACTAAACAATAATACATTTTTGTAAAACTAACTTAAAAGGCAATTATGAAATAACTAATGCCCCACTTGTTAAAATAATAATTTGAAAAATAATCATTTTTAACTGGGTTGTGTAAGCATTAACTCAAACCCTTAAAGTTCTCAAAAACTTTAATTCCGCAAAAAGAATATTAATAAAAACCATTTTTAGTCATCGAAATTACTGGCATTTTATTTAAGATTCACTATATATATGCACTGTTTTTGATTTACAAGCACTTTTCTGTTCACTTTTTTTCCATACATTCCTTGGCTATCTTTCAGACTTCAACCAGCACTGACTGTCAATGGGCTCGGGTGCTTGGAGTGGATGCGAGCCATTGGTGACTACTGCTGCTGGTGGCGCTCCAACTCCCCCTGATCCTGCGCCTCGTCCACCGACATCCACCCCCTGATCCCGCCCAGTCCCACCTCCAAGTGCGCCGCATGTTGTGCAACTCTGCCTGGAGCTGTCATCTGTAATTCACCTTGGCAAGCATGCGAGGTGCACACACACTGCACACACCACACAGCATCCGAGAGCCCAGCCCACTCCGCCCCCGGCCACGCCCCCCGGGCGAACAGCTGTCAATGGTTGTTTACAGAGCAACAGAGACAGCTGTCACCCAGAAAACAGAGAAGGCAGTCGGGGTTCAATGAACCCGCCAACTGGCACAGTAAATCAAAATAATGTAAATTCACGTATATCAATTATATATTTCGTCAAACTAAAAAAAATTGGATGCATCATTCGGTTTTAAAGGCGAATTGGTTTAATTTACAATTAAAATACACCCATATTTAATATATTTTGCTAGGATCTGAATCGCGATCGGATGTTCGTGTGGGCAACGAAATTGAAAATTCGTTTTGTAAATGCAGCGCCTAAAATGACTGATGGTTGCGAAATTATACTGATAGCGTCTGAATGATAGATGATTAATCGTAATTCGGGGTCTTTGAGCCTTTTGTTACCGCACGGTGCGACCCGTACATGTGGAAATGGTCTGTGTTTTTGGTTGGTGGAAATGCTGCGAGTTTTTTCACTGTTTTTTCCGTGTTTTTTTTTTATCTGTTGCATGTTTGTAATTGTCATCTAGCGACGCTTGATGCGCTCGATATATTTGGTTTTGTTCAGGGCCCGACTGCCCGCATTGGGGTCCATCATGCGGTTCCAGTCGGTCTGGCCCACCACAAAACCGATGGCTCGCATCTTCTCCTGCGAGCGCTTCTCCTCGATGTCCGCCCAACGGACCTGAAAGATGTCGTAGGGATTTCGGTAAAGGATTTTATGTTAAAAAAATAATGACCGTAAGAAACGTTTCTTTCGTTAAAAAATTATTCTACAATGATTAAAATATTCGGCATATTGTAGTATTTTTAGCTATAATAACCGATCAGATTAACAAAAAAAATTGCAAAAGAATTATAAAATTCCTACACATATATTTTGGTAACACAAACAAACAATAACAAATTCATTTATCTAACGTTGATCAGGCAACCTAATGGCTATAAAACGTTGTGTACGAACAGAAATAGTTAACATGGAAACATAACAGAAAAGGTGATTAACAATATTTACAATAATTGAACAAAAACAATTTTATTGACTTAGGACTCGAGAGATCTGACGACCTCTTGTACAGAGATCACCGGGGTGCCTTCGCTTCAGTCTTCTTCTAGTCCTTGGGTGGGCCAAGGAAGCTGCTAGGTGGTTTATGTGTGCAGTAAGGCGATCATTGTACCGACTAGAGTGCCGGTTTATCTGCTCCCTGACTGAGGGAACATGAAGGTCAGTTGTTAGAGCGTCATTCCTGACGTACCACGGCGCGTCTGCAATCATTCGCAGCGCACGGTTTTGGACCCTTTGGACTTTCATTACGTTCGAGTCGGAGGCCATGCCCCATAGTTGGATGCAATATGTCATCGAGGGCACCACAATTGTTTTGAACAGCAAAACTTTATTGCCAAGGCTCAGCTTGCTCGTTGGCTTAAGCAACCAGTTGAGTTTTCTCAGCTTAGCTCTACATGTAGCTGCTATTTTGGTAGTGTGCTGCTTCCAGGTGAGCCGCTTGTCCAGGATCAAACCCAAATATTGCGCATGGGGTGATTGTAGGACGGTGATGTCGAGAAGCTCTACTCTGGGAAGGATCTTTCCTCTCAAGGTGAAATTGCAGTGTTGCGACTTTCTTCCATTTATCCACCTATTTGTCCACTTCCCGTAAAAGTCGAGGAATTCCTGGGTAATCCTTGACGCTTCGATTGGACAAAAGGCGTTCGCAATAAAGGCAGTGTCGTCAGCGTATGTAGCCAGAATCGTGCCCGGCTTGTTAGGACACGGCAGATCTGAAGTTAACAGAGTGTACAAAACGGGGCCCAGAACGCTTCCCTGAGGAACGCCAGCTCGAACGATTCTGATTCTTGACCTTTCCCCTCTCACCTCGACCATGAAACTTCGGTCAAGCAGGTATGATTTTAGTAGGAGGAAATGGCTAGTCGGGAGTAGGGACTTTAACTTATAAAGTAAGCCATCGTGCCACACGCGGTCGAAAGCTTCCTTAACATCCAGAAAAATTGCAGAGCTGTATTGCTTGTTTTTGAAAACAAGATATGCTGGACAACTCGATGTGCTTGCTCTGGTGATGATGCCTAAAACCAAACTGGTGGTCGAGAATGGCACGCTTCTTACTCCCATGATTCTGCTAAGAAATATTCTTTCGAATATTTTAGAGAATGTGGGTAGCAAGCTTATCGGTCGGTAAGACTGTACAAGGTTCTCCGGTTTTCCTGGTTTTGGTATCATCGTTATCACAGCACACTTCCATTGAGAGGGAAAGTGGTGGATACGTAGCATTGAGTTGAACAGGAGAACGAGGAACAGGATTCCCTTTTTAGGCAAAGCCTTGGCAATTCTGCTATCGATGCCATCAAAGCCCGGCGCTTTTCTAGGATGTAGCTTTTGGATATAGAGACAAACTTCTTCTGGGCTTACGTGTTGGATCGGTAAGGCATTCGGGGAAGGGGCATCAAGGAAGGCAAGAGTTTCTTCAACATCCTCGCGGCTCGCGAGTCCAAATGGCTGGAAGCGTTTTTCAAGTTCGTCTGCAAAAGCTAAAGAAATTTCCGAGTCGGACCTGCACCATGTGTCATAAGATTTCTTTATGGGGATCTTTCGTAGGGGCTGTCGTTTCATATTCTGTGTGCATTTCCAGAGGTTAAAGCCGTCTGTTTGGTTTCATAAAGAAGCTTTTTAAGATCATCCTCCGCTCGTCGATATGCACTTTTGTCGACAGGATCTTGAGATCTCATAAATCTGCGACGTAGGGAGCGTTTCAGCCTTCCAGGTCCATAATCTCGGGTTTAAAGGAGCCTGAGGTGGACTGGAGGGGTTTGAGCTTGAGGTTGAGGACTCGGCAGTGATATGGATGTTCCGGACAAATACACAAATACAGTGTATAAATTCTTCTTAAAATATTAAAACATATTATTACAGTAGGTTATTTCTTTACGATCTAGTAAATCCATATTATAAGAAAATTATAAGTACAAATCTTTATCCAAACTCTCCAAATAAGTTATAACAATAAAGATTGCAATAAAACACAAAAAAAAACATATACAATAACATAACAAGCTATAATTTTGTATTGAAGTAATATTATATACAGAAAACATCAATAATATTAGTATCGTTTATTTATCTAAACCTTCTGTACGCAACAGAGATAGCAATATAGCTAGCTATCCTTTTCTCTTCCAGGTGAAAAGTTCTTCAAAACTACCTTGCCTGATATTAACCCTCGATTATAAAGAAACGTTTCCCCCAAAAGCTAGTTAAATTCTACTCACGCGCTTCTTGCCATTCGCCGAGGTTCTGGGTGGTTCCCAATCCTCCAGCTGGAGATAGTCAGCCATGCTGGCTGTCCGGCGGTTCTGCATCAGACGCTTGGTGCCATCCAAGCGGGCTGAAATAGTGAATTCAGTTAGTTGAAGGTAAAAACCAAAGCCTAGATGATAGGGACTCACCCAGGTTCTCCTCGGTGGTGTCACATTCCCATTTGCTTTTCAGGAAGCCGCACTGGAGCACGCGAAACGCAGAACGCACGATTGGGATCCGGATTAAGTAAAGAGTGCAATGGGAGAATTTCAGGAAAATTTAGAGGAATATTTACCGATACCCAGGCCCATTTGGCCACCAATCTCCTGTTTCTACGTTTCTAGCGACTGACTGGACTAATTCAGGGAGCATAATGTGACTAAATAAAAATAAAACGTATAATAAATACTTTCAACTAAATTTTACTGAAACATTTTATCAATATGTTTAAGACAAATACTTGTTCCTTTAAAGTAAAAGCATTATCATGAAATCATATTAGTCAATGTAAAAGAGTAAACTAATAGGCCAAAGTGCTACAATACATTTCTCATTAAAACAAAACAAATAACATACTGACGGTTTATGTGAAAGAAGGCTCCTTTTATAAGGATAAGGTATAGGAACATATTAGAAACAAATACTATGTTAGTATTATGGGAATAACACACGTTTATAAGTACACCTTTCAGGATACAAAGTATACATAAGTTTAACATGACAACATTATAAGTATTATACATGCTACAACATTTGTATTTCAAATTGGATTTCGAGTATCCATTTTACTCTCAAACACTAATTGCACTAATTGAATTCAATCGTAAACCCATTAAACCCCTCCGTCATGTGTCTCAAAATGAACCCAATCAGTCGATGCAATCACGGTTTACACTTACGTCGTTGGAGGCATCGCCGCTGTTGCTGTCGTCTGTCTCCTCGACAGCCGCATCCTCGGATGCTCCCGCAGTCTCCCCATCGTCGGCGCAGGCATTATCGTCCTGAAAGTGAGACGAAGCCGCCATAAATCAACAAAACGTTCGCTTCAACCAGCTTGCAGAGTTGCCTTTACTTAAAGCTTAATGTAGGTTGTTCGTAATTGTTTCTTAGACTAGGGTGACTAGAGGTGCACATATTGCATGTCATAAAATGTATATATAGTAGGTATATATAGAGATTCGAATCCAGTTAAGAACTTAGTCTAGAATTGCGATATCATATCGTTTGCATTGCGTTTTCTGTTTGTTGTTTTCGAAAGAACTTGGCCCGGCCAGGTCTGAATTTGAAGGTATTTTCGTCCCTATTTATCGCTTAAAGAGCAATCATGACTGAAGTCGGAGACTCCGGACTGACCAACGACCCACTGGCCGGTCCAGGAGCTCCGCCAGCTCCTCCACCAGCTCCTGTGCTCCGCGGCGACATGGCCGCTTATTGCATAGTTACCGTAGCCATGTCCTCCACATCCTCCATCTCGACCACGTTCTCAAGCAGCGTGCTCACGTCCAGCTTAATGTATTGCAGCGGTGTGTTGCACCAGTTGTCCAGCACCACTTGGATCTCGTTCTCGGTGCGCTGGTGCGAGTTCCTGCCCAGGCACGTCTCCAGATCGCAGTGCAGGTCCACGATGTAGGGCTATAGAACGAGAAGTAAACACATATCCATGCAAGCGATATCGATTTCTTGACCCACCACAAAATTCGAGTCTTTGGCGTGGCAATAAAATTCATTCAGCGTGCGCAGCGAGTTGTTGTTGCAGTCCACTATTATAAAATCGTACAGATTATCACTGAGCGTCTTTTTGAACGATTTGATGAGATATTGCATGTAGGTCTCCTCCATGGCGTCATCGTACTCGTACAGTATCTCCTTTTTGGGTATCTGTAATCGATGAAAAATTTAAATATATTTTTTATGACTAAATGTTCGATTAGCTCACCTTCTTGCCAGTCTTGGGACACTTCTCCACGTAGTCGTTCTCGATGATGAAGTAGTCATCTATGCTGAGGATGCGCGGATTGGCGCCGCCCATCTCCAGCTCCTTTTCCTTGATGAGACGCGCCACATGCGATTTGCCGCAGCCAGGAGGACCACGCAGAATGATGCAGATGCGCTTGGGACGGGTCTGGCGACCGGGATTCAAGAGCACCTCGTCCACGGAGATGGTGTTGCGATTCTCGTTGGTCGGCACGGACATCTCTAGGTGGGGAGCCGTCACCGGAGTGGGAATGTTGTCATTGGCATTGGCTGCCGAGGGGAAAAGCGACATGGTTGGCGGCGGCGGAGCCGATCTTTCCATTCCGCCGCCAAATGACTGGCCGGGAAAGATATTAAATGGGCTTTGATTGAAGGGCTCCTGGACATTTCCCTGATTCCATCTGCCGATCGGCGGCGGCGGTGGCAGTCCCTCATTGTCATCCTCGCCATCCAGTGGGGTTAAATTGCTAGGGGAAAATGAACAAAATGAATAGTTCAGTTATCTTGAAAAAGCTCTAAGCTGATTGCAACCGATGCAGCGGTTAGCTACTTACTCTTCTCCATCGGAAATATCCTCAAGATCATTGCCTTCATTTGGTGGGAACTCATCCCCGTGATCCTGGAACTCATCCTGGTCCTGCTGCTGTTGTTGCTGCTCCTGCTGCTGCTGGTGGGAGAATCGTTGGCAGGATTAGAGACCAAGATCGGGGCTTTCATTCGGCTGACCACTTACCTCATCCTGTCCGGGATTCGAGGAGTTGCATTCGTCAAACGAATTTGATTGCAACTGCGAATTTTGCTGGAACTGCAATCGCTCCTCCTTCTTTTGTCTGTTTCTTTTTTTATTCTTTCGCTTGCTATTGGGAGCTCCTGGGCCTCCTCCGGGTCCTCCCGTCATCCCCCTATTAGGGCCGCAACCTGTCATTCCTTGATTTGGACCTCCTCCCATTCCCATGCCCATTCCTCCTGGTATTCCCATGCGATTCGGTCCCGAAAACGAGGAGTGGCCATACTCAAAGGTCTTCACGGCTCTGAATTCCGGAATTCTATCGGCAGGAGATGGGCCGGAAGGCCCCTCGATGGGGTTTCCATCGCCCGACTTGTGGCCATAATCGATCACCTTGGCGGCTGGTTGGTTGTTGGAATAGTCGAATACCTTCATCGGTCGATAGATGGGCTCGTTTTGGTTGGGGAATGGTTGCTGCTGTTGCTCCGGCCTTTGGATTTTGTATTGAATTTTTTTTGTGGGAGGTGGAGGTGGCGGGTGGAACACACCATGGGCGTTTTTAGTATACAATTTTTTTGTTACGTTTGTTGGTTTTCGTTTTTGGAAGCATTTTTTGCAGTTGTTTTATTTGTTTTATATATATTTTCGATTTTTTATTTTATAGTTTTTAATTTTGTTTAGAGGTTTTCAATGTTTAAAAACCAAAAGAAAAACACTTGAACTTTTACTTGGGTTGAAATTTACTAAAATAGTTTTTGTTTTTTTTTGTGAGTTAAGAAAGGGGGCGTGGCAGGGAACTTAGGGGCGGGTGCACAATCTACATGTCCCACTGCCCGAAAATTGCAGACGAGCATTAATAGAGATATACATACGTATATATTTTGGCCCTAAACTTAGACTAGCAATGCAGTTTTGTTTATGTGTAAGTAGCATCTCTGGGCAAGGCATAAATATCTCTTCAAATTTAGCATAATGCCCACTCAAAACCCTATTTATTTGAAAGATTTTGGCATAGTGTAAGAAGCCAGAAGAGTCGGACAAAGTATAAATCGGATATTGTTAATATTTCTTACTAAGTTGAAAGTGCATTTAAAAGGATTAGAACACCTATAATTTATATACAAATTATAAATTGATTTTATAATGACAACGGACCACAATAGTTATTATTTTAAAAAAAAAACAAATAAATATGAAAATATTTTTTTTATTTTTATAAAATCTATTTAACTCTTAAGTTAAACTTCAAAGGAAAATTGTATTTCAATATTAATCGGACAAAAGATATCGTTAATGGATTTAAAGGCATATATCGGACAAGAAATTTTACTTTTGATATTAATGGGCTTAATTAAATAATTTAAAATGTTTAAACAATCGATATCTAAATTTTATAGATTACAACAGTTCCCTAAAATCGAACCAATATAAACGGACAAAGCCAGAAACAGACGAATAATAATTTATTTTTAAATCAAAACCTTAATTAGTGCATTTCTCAAGTCAAAGATCTTATTGGATTTTTTAAAAACCAATAGTAGATACCAGTAAAAAAAAATAGTGTATCTTTTTTAGTATATTTGAAACATATCTTGATACATAATCGCGAAGATGTCTTATAAATGATTAAATATAATATTTAAAACTAACCAGAACCAGTATTTAGCAATCGGAGTTATGGAGAGTAGATTGGAAAATAACAAAAGATTAATGCACAGACGGACAAAATCCAAAACTTACTATGATTTCTTTTTTTATATAGTTCATTTTTCCCCAAAAACATTACTCTTCGTTTTATCTTCCTTTATTGATATTAATTCCATGGTATATATTTAACATATACGACTCATATAACTTCGCGCTATAAACGTATTATATTTTCCACCAAACAAGACTTAATCTTTGCTTTCATAATCAGGGAAAATTAACTGGAAAAATTAATCAATCGCGTCAAAATGAAAAGGTATAAAACTCAGGAAAAGAAGTTTTGAGGTCAAAAATTGGGCTATTTTTGTGTGTTATAGGAGGTCAAAATAAGTAAAAATCGTTTGATATTTCGAGCAGCAAAATTATTCCCAGTAATGTTGTTTTTTCGATTTCATTTTTGTTCTCTGTGGATCTGGCAGATGTGTGTATCCTTAATTTCTAAATATAGGTATGTTCTGGCTTCTGGACCCTGCGATCTGATGACAGATTATGGATATATTTTTTTTCAGAGGGGGCTATCGTCTGCCCATTCGATATAGAAAGCCGCGCCTAAAAGTCTGTCTCCTAATCAGATCCCGGATTCAAGAGTTCAGAGCTCAGTTCCTGCTCTGCTGCTGTTGTTGTCGGAGGTTTTTAACGCCCCCTTTTCTTGCTGCTCAGACAATGGATCGGATCAGACACACAGATCGGTGGGTGTACGTATATAGAAATATATACATATATCATATATGTATCGGGGGCATCGCCAACCATCAATACCAGCGGTTTTTTGTTGGTTTTTTTTGTTTGGTAACATTTTTTAAATTATACGTTTTTTCAGTATGTATCAGTATTGCATAGAAGTAGAAGAGAAGAAGAAAAAACGGGGTTGGAATCGAAATTCCAGCATTAACGATAACTAGAAAATGGCCTGCGCAAGTTAACTACATAAAATTGGATGAATCAATACAGATAGAGCAATAGAAAGAGGACAAAAGTGGGAAAGGGGGAATTGAGCGGAATGAAATCGGAAGATTTTTATCGAAGAACTTGAACTTAAAACGGAATTTCACGGATATCATAAGAAAAATTTTTATATAGTCATAGGAAGCGAGCTGATTCGAAAGTATATTACATTTTCGAACTCCATCTGTAGTAAAGTCGGACAAACATACGTTTATTTCTATAAAACGCTTGGGTTCCATTATCACATGGGTATATTATAGATATAAACTCTTATAAAAAGAACTGCAATTGCATATAGGTCCTGTTATTTACCAAAACAAAAAGGGAGCCTTTCAGATAAATGTTTGTAATCATGCAGCCCTAATTAAATTTCACGCTATTATTATATAGTTGAACTGATTTGCAGATTATACGATCCACAAAACTTGAAAAGATAATGCTGCCATATCTTTTTCAGACAATCAGACAATTGATATTGGATTCCAAAAGAGTATAAAGGGGGAAAGACTCTTCCCCCTTTCCCCCATTTTTGTCAAGATATAACGTTCCATATATAGGTATTAAATATACGTATTGAAAAATCGATTTGATCAAGGTGAAGAACTTAGAAACGGACTAAGGACACATACCCGTCATTCCAGTTCTTCCGATTGTTCTGTCCTCCTTGATTTCCGCCGAAACTGTTACGGTTCGGGAAATTCCTGGGGCCTCTTGGTGGTCCTGCGCCAAGATCATCGTCGGCGAAACTGGGACCTGGTCCTCCGCCCTGCCGGCGGAAGGGGTTATCACTGTTTTGTCCACCGTTGTTGAATCCCCGTGAATTGGGTCCTTGTGGCCCGCCTGGTCCGAAGTTGGGTCCTGGACCACCGAACGGTGGGCCACCGAAGTCGTCGCGCCGGGGACCACCGAAAGGACCGTTGGGTCCACGAGGTCCGAAGTTACGTGGGCCTGGACCTGGTCCGAAATTCGGGCCAAAGTTCGGCCCGAAGTTGGGGCCATTGTGTCTGAACTTGGGGCCGAACGGTGGTCCTCCGGGGCCATTGGGCCCATAAGGAGGTCCCCCGGGGCCAAAGTTAGGCCCGAAATTGGGGCCACGTGGTCCTGGACCGTTGGGACCAAAGTTCCTGCCTGGTGGCCCAAAGTCGGGACCGGGTCCATTGCCTTCAAAGTCAATGAAGTTGCTACCCGGGACTTGGTTCGGTCCAAAGTTGTCGAAACGCTGCCCATCGTTTGGACCAGGACCAGGCCCAGAATTTGGACGAGAACGAGCATTGGTACCACCGGCACCTGGACCTGCACCTTGAGCCTGCCCGGGACCAAATCCACTGGATGGTCCACTGTTATCTGGTTTGTCACTGCCACTGGGGCTCATCGAATCGCGGGAATCCTGCGACTTGTTATCGTTGCCACCATTTTTCTTGCGCTGCCACTCGGCGAAGGACAGGGGACGACCATCCGATCCCGTTTCCGGATTCGGATCCGGCTCATGCTGCTGCTGCTGCTCCTGGCGATCGCGCTGCTCGCGCTCCTGGACATTGGCCACCGCCTGGGTAAGATTGTTGAAGAAGTTCGGGTCCTTAAGCACGTTGCTCAGCGATTCGTTGCTCTTGTTGGCGGTCGGGGGGCCCGACTGGTTAGCAGGGGCGGCAGGCGCTGCTGCTGGCTCGGAATCCCCGAGCCCCACATCGAAGACCGAGGCTGAGTTCTTGCCACCGCCATCGGCCACCAAATCCAGACCCGGGATGCCATCGCTTTTTTTGAAGATGCTGCCCATGGGCGTGTCGGCTGCCGGCGGTTCAACCTCATCCTCGTCGTCGTCGTCGTCCAGGGAAATCGTGAATATGGGCTCCTCCTCCTTGACCTGCTTAGCGGGAGTTGGAGCAGGAACAGGTGTTTGGCGCCGCTTGCCGAGATTGGTGGAGATCGGAGGAGGCTGCGTTGGTGGAGCCACCGGCGGGGCAGGAACCACTGGCGGAGTTGGAGCTTCGGGTGGCGGCAGGGAGGCCGGATGAACAGGACCGATGGGTGGAGCTACTGGGGGAGCTGGCACTGCTGGTTTCTGGGCAACAATCGGATTTAAGATTGGAGCCGGTGGAGCCGGTGGTCCCGATGGCTTGGCTTGGTTTCCCTTGCCCTCCTCTGGGCCTGGCTGTTTGTCCTGGATGGCTTTCTGGGCGGTTTGGTATTTGTTCTGCAATCCTGGTGGCGGACCGTGGTTGCCCCTGAATCCGGAGCTTTCAAAGGCGCGATTCTCATTCGCAAAATGACCCGGATGTCCCGGTTGTCTGTTGCCCTGTCCGAAGGGGGGTCCTCTATCCTGATCACCGAAATTGGGTCCAGGGCCAGGGCCAGGTCCCGGTGCGGGTGGTCCATGGTCACCGAAATTGCCTTGGACTCCGCCGAATGCATCCTCGTTTGACTCCTGCTCCTCGGGCTTGGATGCCCCGGCAACTGAAGCTTCTTTCGGTATGTCTGTTAACGAGCCAGATCCTGTCAAGCCACCCATTTGCTGCTGGCGACGTCGGCGCATTTGCTCCCTTCGTTCGGCAATGCGACGACGCTGCTTCTCGAACTCCTCCTCGTAGCGGCGGTACTCATCACGATCCGGATGATTGGCATTGGCCCTCTTCCAGTCCTCGAACTGCTGCTCCCACTGGTCGAACAGGCGGTCGAAGCTGGCCTCGTCTAGGTCGGGAGCCTGCTGCTGGTTGCGATTCTGGTTTTGATTTTGAAGTTGAGACTGATGTTGGTAAGGTGCATTCTGCTGGTTGAAGTTGTTACGCTGGTTGAAACTGCCACGATTTTGGTTGAACCCTGAACCAGAATCGCCACTGCCTCCTCCTCCGCCGCCCCTCTCATCGGAATATCCCTGATTTTGGTTTTGGTTGCGATTGTTGTCCCAACGATTGCTTTGGCGGCGATTGTTGTTATTGAAGCTATTAGTATTGCTATTGCCAAAGTTGTCCGGCCCAGATCCTCCTGATCCCCGGCCACCAAAGCTGTCCTGGCCTCCGCCTCTGCCGGCAAAGTTGCCTGTTCCGCCGCTTCCATAGTTGCTTCCTCCTCCGCTGCCAAAGTTGCCTCCTCCTCCTTGCTCCTGGTTATTGTAACTATTGCCATAGTTTCCCTGGTAGTTGCCTGTTCGCTGGCCGAAGTTGTTGTTGTTGCCAGTCGGCTGATCCTGGTCATAATCGGACTGCGAGTTCTTGATAAATGGATTCTGGTTTTGGTGTCCATCTCCATCTTCACCTCCTCGTTCGTCTGGTGCCCCCCAGCTCTTTCGATTGTTCTGGAATTGGTTCTGCTTGTTGTTATTCCGCATCGGTGGTCCGTCCATGTCGGAATTATTGTTCTGCCAGCGATTCTGGCGGGAATTCTGATTATCCTGCTGCTGGTCGTTCAAACTAGGCGGAGGTCCGCTCATCCAGCGATTCTGGTTCTGATCGCTTTGTGGGGGTCCGCTCATCCAGCGGTTCTGTTGCTGATCCCCGCCAGATTGCGTTTGGTTTGATGACCCATCCCAGCGGCGATTGTTGCTGTCATTGCTGTTGTTGTTGCCCTGTGACGGTCCATTCCAGCGATTGTTCATGTCATTCTGTGGCGGCGGACCATCCCAGTGACCTTGTTGCCCGGAATTATCACTGGTTTCCCAGGAAGGACGGCTGTTGTTGCTGCCTCCTCCACCGCGTTGGTTGTTATTTCCCCACTGGTTGTCCATGTTATTCTGCTGCTGTTGCTGAGTATGCTGTCTCTGCAGCGAGGGCGGCGGCTGCTGTAGATTGGGATAGCCCTGGTTGTCTGCTCCGCCACTATTGTAGTTCATCTGGTTCATTTGCCCGCCATATCTGTTGGGCGGCGGCTGCTGCATGCCCGGTCCACTCGACCACATGCCTTGGTTGTCATTGCTTTGATTGTAGCCGCCTTTATGGGGTGGCGGCGGCGGCGGCTGGTTGTACAACTGCGGCTGGGCCATGATCTTGCCGGGTAGCGGTGGCGCGCCCAGCACGGCATTCGGCGTGGTGGAAGGAGCCGGCGAGGCCGAGACGGCCTGATAATAGTTCTGGGCAACAGGGTAGGCCTGTGGGCCCGGTGGGGCTACCACTGCGGGAGTCGGAGCTGTCGAGGGAGCAGCTACCACGGGTGCAGGGACGCCTTGGATACCTGTAGTCGTGGCCACAGCGGCAGCAGCGGCCATTTCACGCTTGTACTGGGGAAGGGGGATTAGTTAGGATAAGGTTGTTTGTCAGGTGTGGAGGATTGCCAGATGGGACTCACCTGCTCGCCGTACTGGGCATGCCACTTGGCGTACTCCGCCTGGTAGGTCTGCCACTGGTGCCAGTGGTGCTGCAGGGCGTACTGCTGCTCCGGGGTCATGGCCGCGTACTGGGCGGCCGTATACTGCTCATAGGGGTTGCCGGCCCCCGCGCCCCCCGCCGTCGCCTGTCCGCTGCTATAAGGGTTGAAGCCTGCGCCCGCAGCGGAGGGGGTGGTGCTGTCGTTCTGGGCAGCTGCTCCAGATCCTCCTCCCCCTGCCGACTGCTGGCCGGAGGGTGCTCCTCCCGAGGAGGCCCCGTCCGCGGGGGGCGGTGGGGGCGGGGCGTCGGGCAGTGGCGGCGGCACCGACGGCTGCGGAGGGGGTGCGCCCATCGGAGCCACTGCGGCGGTGGCCGTCTGCCAATGGCCCCACATTCTGCAGTTTCCTCTTCGCTGCTCTTGTCGCGCTCTTGCCGGATCACTCGGGCGATCCGCTGCACTGCGTTTTCACTGAGTCCGGCGAAAAAAGTCGTTCACTTTTGTTTAATTCAAGCGCTTCTCGAAATTTGCCTGCAAACTGGACGAAAAAAGAATTCACTTCGCCATTTTTGGCTTGAAAACTAGAGGTGGCACTTGCCGCTGTCAAGATTCATCGATGTCCAGGCAATCTTCATCGACTATCGAAACGATTGAACTCAGGGATTTCTATTTGGGACTTTAATTTTGAAAGGCCTATTGGGTTTTTATGTATTTTCTTTACCCATTTTGTCGTGTCTTGGAGAGGCAAGTAACAATTTAATGCTTACAAATTAATAAAGGTAAACTGCTCTTTTCAGTCCCTGATTTTAGAAAGAAGAACATATTTTTAAGTACATCTACGGCTGTTTATTTCTTAATTTGATTTTCAAGCACTTTCCTATTGTTTCAAGTGAGTAAAGCCCTTCGCGCAATTTTCTCATCTAACCATTAATTTGCCAATGAGCGCATTTAATTATAGAGTAAATATATGATTACGCGTTTCAATTCGGCACCCAGAGGAACCATTAAATTAAATGTCATTTAAAAAACAAATTAATCAATGTTCTCCTGAAAAACTAGTATAATCTTGTGTTCAAATGGCTAATAGGAAATAGACTGCATGACGTTTCGATAGTTTTTTTTTGTAACATGTACGATATTTGTAGGATACCTTCCACAAGATCAATTGGACACGTATTTTTACAACATTCAAATTCCAATCTATCAATTGCGTGGCAAAATGTGTTTTGCAAAACATCGTTTCATCGCGTAACAACGATATAAACGATATAAATGGGAAGAATATCGGGAAATATCCCCATCACTAAGAAACTTCCGACACGTGCTGAATTGAATTGTTTTTTTTGCGTGCCTTGTTTTTCATGTAAGAATTACCCCGGAAAATGGCCGAGACGAGCGGAAAGATCAAGTTCCTGGTGGCGGACACCACCGCCTTTATCAACGCCGTGCCCCTGAATGTAAGTCATCCCTGGTTTCCATAGAGAACACCTCTAAATCCCAAATCCAATCCCCTCCAGGAATACGCGGAGCAGGTGCTCACCGTGCCGGATGTGGTGGCCGAGGTGCGCAACAAGCGCCAGATCCGTCGCCTCTGCGTCCTGCCCTTCGACCTTCAGGTGCGCGAGCCGCGTCCCGAGAGCATCAAACACTGCGTGGAGTTCGCCAAACGAACGGGCGACTATGCGAGTCTCTCGGGGATCGATCTAAAGGTCATCTCGCTCACCTACGAACTGGAGGCAGACACCGTGGGCACCGACCACCTGCGCACGGAGCCCGTGATGGCCCAAACCATTGCCTCCAAGGAGAAACCCGAGGAAATGCAGGATGCCAGCAACAAGAGGCTGGTTGGCTGGTACATGCCTGAGGGAGAGGAGGAGGACTCCCAGGAGGATGGGGACTCCCAGGAGGAGGAGGAAGAGGAGGCGGGTGGCTCAGAGGAGGAGCAGGAAGGCGAGGACAACGTAAAAGCCGCCATCGAAGCTCAACTAGCTGGCAAGGAAGCCCTGCCTGGCCAGCCAATACCAGCCGAGGAGGATCTCGACCAGGATCCCAGTCAGGAGGAGCTGGACAAGCTGTTTGAGCAGCTCAAGTGCGAATTCGACGCTGAAACGGAGCAAGAGCGGTCGGAACTCCTCGTCTTGCAGCCGGCAGAAGAGGAGGAAGCAGAGGAATCCGAGCCACAGCCAGCCCCAAGCCAAAATCTCGAAGAGGAGGTCGGCGACGACGGCTGGATCACGCACTCGAACATCAAGAAGGCCAAGAAAGCCCTGGAGGGCAAGGTGGAGACCGACGAGGTGCCGCCGGTGGCCTGCATGACCACCGATTACGCCCTGCAGAATGTGCTCAAGCAGCTCAATCTCCACCTGGCCGCCCTGAATGGCCGAATCATCAAGCAGCTGCGCACCTACATACTGCGATGCTACGCCTGCTACAGGACCACCAGCATCATGACCAAGGTATTCTGCCCCAACTGTGGCAACAAGACCCTCAAACGGGTGGCCGTCAGTCTGGACGAGAACGGGCGCCAGGTGATACACATCAACACGCGCCGGCCGCTAACCAACAAGTACAAGAACCAGAGCCTGCCGCGCTTCCAGGGCGGCAAGCACTCGAGGAACCCCATCCTGTTCGAGGACCAGCCCATGCCCCGCCAGATGCCGTCGCGCGTGGCCAAGACCAAGACGAACGCCCTGGACCAGGACTACACGGCCGGCTTTTCGCCCTTCGTGCTGCGCGACGTGGACTCCAAGTCGGCCATGCTGCGCTCCAAGGGCAACCTCAAGGAGTGGGCCAGGAACAACAACTTCGAGGAGGATCGCCGGCGCAAGAACTACAATCGCCTGTACAAGTAGATAAACCCTCTTAATTGTAGACTTTATATAATATGTAATATATAAAATAAAACACAAGGGAGAACCTAAATCTTTAGATGGAAAATGTACAATATTACATTTTAGAAGGCACAGATAAGCTTTTTAAATATTTATAAACATTTTTTTATGGAAATATATCATTTTTTAAGTACAATGTTGAACTCTTCTCGATTATAACAAGAAAACGTACGTATCAGTTTTTAAGGTAAATATTTTATTTATCTCTTTTTCCCCTCTACCTTTTCTAGTCACTTTTTTAACCAACTATCCATCCATTCCAGATGCACAAAAATCGGCTTGGAACTATAGATTTAGCTTGTATTATTTATAGGCAGTCGAGTATATGTATAAATCACAGCTTGACGCAGAGTTCGTTGCCCGGATACGGGGGCAGATTCAGATCGTACTTGCACTGCAGAGCCGGCGGTACGAATCTCCCGCCCAAGTAGTGATGTTCTCCGCGGAAATGGCGGGCACAAAGTTTCGGGGCCGTGAGGGAAATGAGCAGAGCCGGCTCCAGATCGCATTCAGTCACCTTTCCCTTCTCCACGTCCCAGCCGCTGGGAATGTCCACGCTGCAATGAGGGTACATCATTAGTTATGGATTAAGCAGATAAGAACAAATTATATTTTGGCACCTCAAATTCAAATGAGAAAAATATCCCTGTCTGAAGATCACATAACTGAATGGTAATAAGTCTATAGTAGGTAAAAGCAACACGAGTTGAAGATGACTTTGAGGTATAGACAAGGATTATTTACATTATTTATTATTCCAAATGAATTTCATCGTAAAAAGGGTGATGTTTTTGGGTGAACGAATGATTTAAAAAACTATTTTATAAATAATTTTAGGATTGCCAAACATGAAATAGTAACAAAACCTATACAAATACTAATTCTAATGATCTTTCGATTGATATAAAACCCACTGCACCTGATAATACGTATAAAGCGCATATTTTAAGAACATCTATAACCCCTGATCTTCAGATGAACCTTGAAGCCTGGCAATCTATGTATATCCCCTGATTTTCAGAAATTACTAAAGCTTATGATCTTTCGATGGATATAGAACCCTTGCACCCAGATAATCGGTGTAAAGCCGGCTTCAGATGAACCTTGAACCCCGGGCGTATCAATCGCACCTGGCAATCGGCAGCTTGGTCTGCTGCATCAGCTCCACGACGGCGACGAAATCCGCCCGGACCGGCGGCTTGAAGCTGAAGCCGAAGAGGGCGTCCAGGATGAGGTCGAAGTCGCAGGCGGCCTCCTCTACCGAGGGACACTCCGCCACGCTGGGGATCTCCATCCGGCGGCACTGGTGGCTGAGGTTCTCGAAGAGCGCCTTTGCCGTGGGCTTGGGGTAGTAGATGGTGGGTGTGTAGCCCATCAGGGCGAGGTGCCGGGCGGCCACCAGGCCATCGCCCCCATTGTTTCCCGGGCCGCAGCAGACGAGGATGCGCGGATGCTTCTCCACCGGAAAGCACTTGGTCACTGCGTGGGCGCAGCTCAGTCCGGCCAGCTCCATCAGCTGGTCCACGCTGAACTTATACTCGTTGAAGAGCTCCTGGTCCACGTCGATGGCCTCCTTTTGGTTCAGATACTTTAGGCCACCCATAGCTTTGCCGGCGTAGAATCGCTTGGTTTCCGCAGGTGCCCTTGGTTTCTGCCTGTTTTCGGGTACTAGGAGTGGGTGGATGGTCCGGGAAAAGCCCCTCAGAGAAGCTCCAAGTCGCCGATAGAGCAGGCTCATAGATTCCAACTGCAACTTGTGGCTACTTCCCCAGGGATATTAGTTTTAAAAATCTGTTTTATCTCAAAAAATTTACAAATTTATAAGTCCCGGACAGCTGTTTAGGCGGAGTTGCCAGATGATCGACAGCGAGGTGTCCTAGCTTAGTGAGACCGTACTCGAACTACCGTCGGAATAGTGTGCTATTTAGCGGAGTCACCCTCCCAACTTTTCCGTGTAATCGTTTATTTTACCTATCGATATATCGATGTGCACGGTAATTTCAGTGATAGCGATAGGCAACAACTCAAAATTTTTTCAAAATAGGCTAAGCTCTAAAAAAAAAGGAAGGGCACAAAAATAAATAATGATAATAGTAATAACAAAGTTTTCGTGATTTTCGTCATTTTAAGAACATTTCGGTCTTCATTTCAGAACAAAAGTTCACAAAAAAATATAAAATAAAAAGACATGCTAGTCTTTTTGAATGCCTTGTAGAGATGTATTTACCGAAGAATAGCGAATGAATTGTTCTCAAATCGTCAAAAATGTTATTGGTTATTTTTGGTTATGCATTTTGCTTGGAACCCGGCTGGATTCATTCATATCCGTCGCGTTAGCCATGTGTAAAAGCTTTTCTTTTTTTGCCCTTCAAAGTCTTCATTTCACCGATTCCGCTCCTTCCTATAGTGCTAAACGTCGTCTTGTGCTTCTATTCTAACTTCAAGATCGAAGCAATGTAATTGCGTTGCCCTTCATACTTAATTAACTTGATTGCCCTGACTTGCTAAATATTATTAATCTGTCCGTACCTAGTATAACTCTAAGAACTATTAAACCTTTTTTTATACCTATGCCCAGAACAAATTACGCTCTAAATGAGCCCTTGCATATATTTTACAGTTTGCCACATAGCATGAGTTTGAACCCAAGCTAGGGATAGTAATAAAAAGGCCTTGTTCATGTATTTCTCTAGTTTTAGTAATTAGTTAAGACCCATTTAAGTAGCCAGTTAAGGATTTGAAATCTGTTGCCTAAAAAAATAAAGAAGTTCAAGCACATTCGCCCAGTTCGAACACAATTTTCTCGGTCCTTAGTTTTAACATTTCCATATTTGTTTATATTGTGGCACTCTTACGCTGCGACAACGATTTGGATATGGAAAATATCTTGGAAAATGTGGACATGGACAACGAACTGAAAAATTAAAAAGCTAGAAAGAAGCCTTATGCGATTTATGTTTAGTGAGTTCCTCGATATCGAACATCTCTGGAAGCACGAGTTGAGTTTTACTTGCAGTTGCTGGACAATTAAGCCTGGCGGAAAGGTAGTATGCCTAAACTCAGAGGCCTTTGCCATATAGTCCACAGACGGGTTTAATTTTCAAGTACTTCTCATGCCAAGCACATAAATTTTTAAAAATTTTAGTCGGACTTGTAAGCGACAAAATGAATTCCATGGATTCGTATTTCAGAAAGTACAAAATGAATTCCGTGAATTCGAATTTCAGCAAGCACACAACTGTGAAACAAAAATCTATCATTAATGATCGCCCGTACTTACATACACGGAGTAAAGAGCTCTTAAAAAAGCTTCAGAATAGTGAGTAACCTACAGGACTTCAGGGGATTCCGATGATTTAGGACGAAGCTCTTATGATGTAATTGCAGATGCACACCGAAATCATCATCGCTCAACCTACTGTGCGAGAGAGCACTTTGAGGTAATTATCCTGTTAAACGAAGGTTTCTTGCAGTTAGTTAGGACACACATAAGGGACACTTTCATAAGAAATCATGAGAACGCATCCTCAATATCGAAAACATTTTTGGACTTCCGCTTTTTTTTAATTTAACAAAAAAAGTGAAAAATAGTTCTATAAAATTCTTCGTCCAAGCAGATGATTTTTAAATCTTAATAAAAATGGACGTGGTTTCTAGAAAGAAAACGGTTATTTGTTTCGCCAGACCAAACGAGCTGAAATTACAACTCCTGCAACTCAAGCCATCGGTCCCGTCAAATGTATATAAAATGTGAAAACATTTTTATTAATCAAATGAAAAATTAGATTAGATCTAAATATTCCAGTCGGCAATCTAAAGTAATAGTTAAGATAGAGAATATAAAGGTCTTGCCAAGAGGAAGTTGGACATTAAAAAAAAAAATTAAAGAAACTTTTTTTACGACGAGATGATTTGCCGAGTTCCGAGCCGTTGGATGGTCCTATACCATCTGACTTGTGAAATTTGCAGCGCCAATGCATTTCTTTCCCAATTAAATCCCGAAACGCCAAGTAAAGAAGCCATCTTAACTCGGAAAAATACTCAAATACTAAAATAAATAAATAAATACTGAAATAAAAATGAGGTCTCACACAGAGGAGGCTTTCGCTTCAGCGACTGTTTCTTCCATAAGAAATACACATGATAGAAAGAGACAGGATGAAATCTCTACAACTCGCTGCAGGGGAAAATGGAACCGCACACTCAAATCGATTTCAGTCTTTTTATTCAGTATTTTTTACGAGTTGAGGTGAATTGTGTACTTTGCGATTTTATTGAGAATTAAATGCATTCGAATATGAAAAATTACGGTGGTGCAGGACCCTTCCGACGGCTCGGAATTTAGCAATTGATTCTAATCTTGAAAAAAATTAGCTATGCTTTTTTTAAGGCAATGACCAACGTGCAGCTTAGTTCTTCTTGGCAAGACCTGGCACCTGTTGCACAAAACGTACATTGTTTGGATAAATAAAGCCATTTGAAGGCGCATCCACATCCCAAAATTGTGGCTTACAAAATGGATGTGGAAGAACCGAAAACGAGGAAGGCGTAAAATTATTGAAAAGGTCCAAACGGTTCGAACTTGTGAATATTCTCGTGGCGCCACTGTTGGCCTACAATAGTCCCTATTCAATTTTCACTACGCTTGCCTTCTCATCCTTGATTCATTGTCTAGTATCAACAAAATAATTGTATTTAGATTTGCGTTGTTTTGCATTTTTTTCGGAGCAACAGAAATTGCAAGTTCCTATCCCTGGATACGATTTGCTTATGCCGATCAGATGTTCGCTCCATCGACCAAGAGAACCGCTGCTCTATATCCGTCCATCAGCCGAATCGAATAAATCAAATACACTTGATCCTTTTCTTAAAAAGCAAAACGATGATGAGCAAAATGTATTATAAAAACTTTTTAAGTTAGGACACACACGAGGGACACTTTCATAAGAACGCATTCTCCATATCTGATGTGTACTCCACAGTTTTTAAAAGTATCGAGACCCCTGCCAGAATGTTTATGACGATCTATTAACAAAC